GTTGAATAATGAATTTTAACTCTAACTGCTCTCATACCATGTTGGGCTGAAACGCCCTAGGATCTTTGTAGAGTTAAAGTTTGTGTAGGATGATGTAATAGCGGAAGCGTTGAATAAGAAAGCCTTGAACCACTTTGCGCTGGTATGTGAGGGCAAAGTAAGTTGATTAAAACAGGCAAATACAAAGCTTTATATAAGAGTACAAGGAATACGAATAGATGTAATTAAACTACCTTGCTGTTGCGATTCGATACAGTGTGACTCGGGCAACTGCTCAATGTCGAGTCAGTTGTGTGTCCTTGCTGTCGCGCTGTATTGGTCAAGTCAAAGGTCGCTGACCTTTGACCTTCCCGTAACCTTCAGGCGGTTACCCTAACCTCCGAGGGTTGACTCGCGATGCTTCGATTTGGACTTCTTCGCTTTGTGTCCTGAGTTTCGACACGACAGAGGCGCTTAAGACTTATTGTTCCCAACACATTAGAAGGGGGGGGGGGGTCACTATTTTAGCTGCTGGCTTTAATTGCCTGAAAAAATCAACACACCCTTTGGTTTACCTAGCTACCTGCCTTTCTACATAGTAAGGTAGGGCAACTAACGGTGACTACGGTATCTTTGTCATGGTACCGTATGTTACATAATGACAGCACAGATTGTACACTGTCAAAACTAGCAGAAAACGCAGGCAATGAACCCAGACCTGGTACAATCTGGATGAAGATAGTACAAACTGTACACTCACCCAGACTAGCTATGGGTTAGTCAGCCATCAGATTGCTCTTGAGATCCAAGAGAACTTGACAGGGAAAAACTTTCTTCGCTAAGAGACTGCAGCCATGCCTCTTCTTCCCCAAGCAGCCGATTTTTCAGTCCCTCCATGTTGAAGGTACTCTCCAAATGCTCAATTATTCTGTTTCCGGGCACTTCCTTTCCCAGCCTCCTGCTGACGTGATCTGTCAACGCGAAGAGCATAAAATGGCGGTGAACTCCTAAGAGGAGATGTGCAGGATAAACTTCAAGGCCATCCAATAACGCGAACTCGAACATGAGTTGCTGTTTACAAGGATCCGCGTCAGCGTCTTGATTCTCCATCAGTCACGAGCTCTGCCATCAAGAAACGCACGAACGATAATGTTATCTGATCTAACGACCGTACAATACTCAACCGCCATGTGAACACCGCCTAGACTCGTGGCTGACTTTACGAGGAAGTAAAACGATATGCATCTGAATTGCGGAAACATAAGCCGGTTGGTCAATAGAAGGCTTCAACAGCTCGGGAAACAGGTGGAGAACGGGCAACAAGCCGGAATACTTCGTAGAGTTTGGAAAATGTAACAGTCTACTTTCAGTTCCACCAAAGACGACGCGTTTTTTGCAAAAGACGACAGATATGGTGGCTTAACCATGTGCGCGTACGTGATGCTTGCTGCGTGTTGAAACGACCAGAGAGTCGACGATGGAAACTGTTGCCAGTTGACACAGGCGCTGGCCTGCGCCTCGACTAGATTTCATACGGGTGCAAGCGCACAGACGCCACAGCCTTCCTCCGCAAAACTCTGATTGATAACCAGCTATCAGGGTGTCGAGCTAATCCCTGCTCCAGGAACGAATAACTAAAAGCTGGCTGGATTTCTCAGCTCTAGCTATCAAAATATGCTGGAAATTTAGAGGTGGTGGTTGCTATTCAACTAGTCACCCTTGCGATCACTCAGTCAGCTATGGTGGTGCTGTTTCTCGTCTCTTTTTGGGTTGCGAAGCAACCCTTTACGATCGATTTTGCCAAATTTTATTTTCATGTTAATATTTTTTAAAAAAATCATGAAAATAAAATTTGTCAACTACAGTATTACCCTTCCCATACTGTATGCATGTTGAGCAGTTTTGAATACGGTACTGTTCATAGTGCATTATTCCATATGAATATTTTGCAATTGTTTAGTGGAGATTTGCTGTACTGTTTGCATTATATGTTACTGTTAGATGATGTTGTGTAATGATGAAGAGGTGCATGCGTAATGCATAAATGATGCTATACAATGCATAATGCATAGAATGATGTATATAATGCATGTGTTATGTGATGAATAATGCACATGCACATGATAAAATGCGTGACAGTTAACAACCCAAAAACTAAGCTATCGCCATCCCCTGCCTAGCATGGGGGGGAGGTCAATAGCAAAATCTTTGAATAATCAACTAGCACATGAAAAAATACAATCTGTTAACTCTAAAAAAGAGGTTCACTCTATCAAATCCAGTTCGAAGTGGCAAACACACGAGTCACTGAGTGCGCCAATGAACCAATGAGAAATGATAGAAATGAACCCCCTTTTTAAAATTGACAGACATGCATTGATATTGCAATGACAGATGAGATGAATGCACTCACACGAACAAACACATTCACACAATAAAAAACACGAGCTCCGGCAAACCCAGCCAAAAAACACGAGATACACGCGACGCGAACTACATAACAAGTAAATCAATGTTAAAAGGACAATACGATAAATCCTAGTGACCAATACGCATTTTCTGGATTGAAATCGCGTTCCTGACCGGAAAGGCCCCTGACAAACGGGTTTAGGAAGTGGAAAGGAGGAACGGAAATGAATAGCCGGTACAACAAACAAAACAGAAAAAAGGCATAAGGTGTGATGAAATGAAGAGAAACAGGAATAACGAAGAAACAAATGAATCAATACAAGGGCTAAGAAAAACGCCGTGAGCATTGAATGGTTAGACTTGACAAAGAGCATGGAGAAGAATCTAACGAGGCATAAAACGAAAATAAGGAACGGGAATAGAGGAACAAAATACCGAGACAGTAAACGAAAGAAGAGAATATAACGAATACAGAGAGCGAGAACGAGAGAGAGGGAGAGAACGAGAGAAAACGAGAACGAGAGAGAGAGAACGAGAGAACGAGGACGAGAGAGAGAGAACGAGAGAGAGAACGAGCGAGAACGAACGAGAGATAGAGAGAGTGTTCAATAAATTACGATTTCTACGATTTCGAAAAAAAACATGTGTAAAAACAAGATCTAAGCCGACCTAGTTTAGATCTAAGCCGTCCTGTGTTAGAATTAAGTCGACCTAACAGGTATCGAACGCGTTTAAGTTGCAAGTTAGGAGCTTACCTAGCGGAAGTCCCGTAGCCCGTCAGCAGAACGAGAGGAAGTAGGAAAGGGAGGGCTAACTAAGAATAGGAAGTAAATGACGACAATAAGAGCTTACATCTTACCATGAGCTAACAACTCTAAATGACATCTTAAACTTTCTGACCTTGGAGTGGTAGGTGGACCGTAAGTAGCGTGAGGCAAAAGAACAAGCTCCACTGGCGAGAAGAAAAGAGAAAGAGAAAACGAATACCTAGAACCTAGAACATAGGCTTAATCAAACTATCTTTTTAAAACGCGGCCAGGGTAAGAGTAAACAACTATGTACGAGATTAACGCATGCTAGTCTCGCTAGAAATCAGGTAACTTAATTCTACTTGAAACGGTAAGGTAGAGTTGTTCTCACCTTAGTAGGAACGGGTAGGTGGGGCGTGAGTAGCGGGGAGCTAAACCAGCGAGCGGAAGGGAGGGAGAAAGAAAGGAAGAGCCAACCCTAACAAAGTGTCAGATTCGTCGTTACTTCATGTAATCTAGATTGTTATGTTGCTCCTCTTTGCAGTAGCGCTAGTGCAGTCGGTAGGAGAAAGGCGTTGGGTACGAAGGTCGTAGGTTCGAATCATGCTGAAGCTGTTTTTCGAGTCGTTGCTATAAATGTCAATTACCACAGGTTTTTATAAAAGTATTCTCACTTGTAGAAAATTGTGTACGGTACATGTCGTTATGTAAAATGAAAAAAATTGTGTACATATCGTTACGTAAAATGCTTCGCAACCCTAAGACGATTTCGTCGCCTCTTGTTCTGTCTGCGATTGAGCTTTTGACGGCGAAATGGGAGGGCGTCAGAGGGAAGGCTTTGTTCGATTTGAGTAGTCGCGTTTGAGCACGGATTGGCTGGAGATTGGCGAACGGATTTGTGGCACTGTCGCATGCAGGATTTTTTTTTGCGCCATCGTAAACGAAACGTTGTTCCACCACAGGGCAGCGAACGAGAGCACAGCCGAGTGCTCCAGCAATGATCCCCGCTGCCATGCAAGGAGTTGCGCACCGCAAGCCCAGCCTATCTACTTGTGTTCGGTTTGGGGGAGTAAAATACACTGCCGTTGCACACCAGCAGCGGGGTGTGGGGGAATGGGGGATAGGGAACTTGCGCCGTGAACAGCTGGAAATGCTGGACCAATTGCGCAGAGAAGCGACTCGCTCGTTTGTGCGCTTTAGGGGGGTGTATAAAACACCCTGGGCCGCCAGATGCCAGGATTAACGGACGAGATTCTCTCATCCGACTCATCCGACACTGCGACATTTGCGAGACTGAGAGCACGATCGCAATCAAAGAACTCTATTGAAATTGCTGAGTCCCGCAACGGCATTTCGGTGCCTGAACGAGATCCACCCCAACAGGCAGCTACACATGTTGTAATGAATACACAATTCATTACTGTAGAGGCTGCTCCTAGCAAGGACAGCCCGAGCACATCGCGTCAGGTGGCTCGGCCTACACTTCCGCACCGAACCAATTCCGAGTCGCCCTGCACCAATCGCGACACATACAACCCATCCACGTGCCGAGGTCCTCGCCTAGCACGGTTTCGACCCTAGAAATGCGTGCTCCTTATCATTCTTGATCATTCGGTAATTCATTCTCTTTATAAAGTCTTCCGCACACTCTGTCTAATAAAACTCATAACACATGTCATCGGCTGAACTTACCTCACAAAATTACGATTTCTCAAGTCTGTAGAAACATGATATAGGAAATGAGAAGGCATTATTAGGACAAATCAACCAAGACAAGCCATAGCAAAAAAATGTGAACAATATACCTGCATCTGAGCCTCTATGCAACACCAAAACGATTGAGCTGCGCCTCGATCCTAGTCCCTAAGCAATTTCCGGATGCTTGGCGTAAGCCTGCCCCAGCTGAGCAGTTTCCAAAGCATGTGCAATGGAATTCACATTCAACGCACGAGCACTCGCAGTTTCCCGCAGGGGGCGCGTGGCACAAGCTCCTTTCTGAACCGCAGCACTGATGGGAGAATACGCACTCATGGATGAAATCCTCCCCGAGCCAGCTGAAAATTGACCCATAAGCTCACAGGACTGAGGCACCACGACTGCACTGCTGCTACGCTTGTGATGTGCCCTTGCTTGCGAGCCTTTACCGGCAGGAGCGGCCAGAGAGGAAGAAGCAGCAACCGTGTTAGACACAGCACCATCAGCAGCCCTCCCAGCCCCTCCAAGGGAAGGCACTCCAGGAGTGCCAGGCCGCAGCAGCTTTCCACAGGCAGGAAAAAGTTCACAGGCACTGCCCGGCAGAGCATTCCCAGGAAGTTCCTGACCAACCCTAGGGGGAGTTCGGGGAGACTCGGACAGCCTGGTGATGTCACCTCCAAGCAGCTTGCCAATGGAAGCAGGGCGAGGAGGGGCGTGAGGGCCTACGGACCCGAGAGGCGCGAGATGGCCAGGAGGACTGGCAGGACCAGCAGGGCCAGAGGGACCAGGAGGACCAGGAGCAGGGGAGCCGGCAGCAAGTGAGGGGTAGCAGACTCCAGCGATCCGCCGCGCCTCATTCAAGCACATTTGCCTCGACCGCTCGCTGCTGCTGCCGCCGCCGCTGCTGGTCACATCCACAGCCATGGTTACACCCGTGTCTTTGGTGGGGTAACCAGTGGCGTAACCAGACGTGTAGTCAGAATCGCTAGTTTCAAAGCTGCTGCCGCCGAGCAGAGCACTGAGGTCGCCCGCGCTGAGGCGCCGGCCGTTCACTCGCAGCGAGTTGGCAGGTCGAGCAGTCGCCCTGTCTGTGGCAGCAACAGCAATGGCTGGAGCCATAGCAGCAGCCCTGTCGACAGCCACAGCAGTAGGTGGACCAGCAGCAGCAGCAGCAGGGCGGCGGCACGACTGAGCGATGGCAGGGTTGTGCGAGGCAGCAGCCCACAGAGACGCCACACCACCAGAGCGGCTCACACCAACCCTGCTCGAGTCACCTCCCGCACACCCTCCTCTTCTCGCACCCCCTGCCGCTGCGCGCACTGCCATGGCCCCGCCCTTAGGCGTGCTGGCACCACCATTAGGGGCCAGTGCTGCTGGAGCGTGCTGCGGAAACCCAGCCACAGCAGCAGCTGCTGAGGGGGACGTTAAGGGGCTGGCTGATGGGGAAATTAATGAGGCTGGAGAGAGGGGAGTGGGGGAAGAGGCGGAGTACCCAAGAGGGAGGTCGTTGGGGGCTAGAGGCGTGAGGGCAATGGAGAAAACAGAGGCGGAGGAGGAGGAGGAACCGGAGCCAGACGGGGTTTTCCCGCTTCCTGTGCGTTCCTCTGCCGCTGCTGCTCTTGCGCTGTATGCTGCTGGCACAAGAGGGTCTGTAACGGTAGAAAGCGGTGCGGGGAGATGCACGACTCGGGTACTCATATACTCGTCCACGTCATCCTCCTGGTCAACCAAGTCAAGGAATTCCTTCAGCTCCGTGTCGATGCACGTGATGCTGTGCCGTCGCCCATGGCTGCGAGGTCCTGCTGCCAATGCCGAACTTGACGCCGAAGCTGCAGCCAAAGCTGATGCCGAAGCTGCTGCCAGAGCTGGTGGGCTTATAGCCGCCGGCCTCCACGGTTTGAACAGCAGCTCAGCAGCTGCTGCGTTGACAGGAGCAGCAGGGGCAGCAGCGGCGCCAGCAGCAGCACTGCGACGGGCAGAGGAGGCAGCCTCAGGCGTAACAAACTCAAAGCTCACCCTCCGCCCTTCTCCCTCCCCTCCTTCACCTTTCCCCGTTTCCCCGCCCTCTCTTCCCTCCCGCTCGTCCCGCGGAACACATTCTCCCTCATCCGTCTCGTCCCCTTCGTCCGAGTCAATGAGGTCAAGGAATTCCTTCAGGTCCGTGTCGATGCACGTCTGGCTGCGGCGCCGCGCGGGGCGGCGCGCAAACGGGCTGGCGCTGGTGGCAGCGTGGGTGTTTGCGAGCAGTTGACCGGAATGCGTGCGAGGCGAAGGGTTACTAGTGCGCATAGACGCGGGGTTATTCCCAGTCGGCGACGCTACTGCTGCTGCTGCAGGAGAACGAACAGTCGCATTCGCAGTGGGGATCGCACCTGGGCGACCCCTGGTGTCTCTCCTGACAAGATTCCTTCCATTCCCTCCATTTCTGCGCATCCCTCCCTGGTGTCCCTCCCGACAAGCGGGGTGCTCCGCTTCTTTCTCCGATTTTCCCGCCGCTTCCCCATTCTCCCCTTCCTCCGCAGCTTCCTCCGCAGCTTCCTCCCCCTTTAAGTCAACCAAGTCAAGGAGTTCCTTCAGCTCCGTGTCGATACACGTGATGCTGTGCCGCCGCCTGTGCCCCGGCCGCGCGCTCTCATCCCCGCTACACGCAACCCCGTTACTAGCCGCGCCGTATTTGGGAAAGGCGAAATCTGCAGCAGCAGCAGCAGCGGCAGCCGCAGCGGCGGTTTCTTTTTCTCCGAGCCTGCCCGAGCCCGTAGCGATATCGCCTGAACCGCCTTCCCCACATCCCACCTGCCCCACCTGTCGCCGCGCGAACCGCCCGCTTCCGTCCCCTTCCCCGGCCTGCAGCGGATCCTGCGACTCCGCGAGGTTGCCCCAGCTGCTGCTCCGCCTCCGCCTTCCCCCGAGCCCTTCCACCTTCCCCCCTCCGCCAAACTCTTCCGCATCGTTGCTGCGCCCGCCGTGCCGCGTGCTTCCCCCCACCAAACATGCGTCCCCTCTTCCCTCTTTTGCGCCCACCCCGAGTCGATTCAGCGCCGTGGAAAGCGCCGCGTTTGCCGCTTGGCGGTGCTCCACAGCCGTCCAATAAAGACCCACAAACTCGTCGTCCGAATCACCGCCGTCACTCGCGCCGTCACTCGCACCGTCGGTCACGGCGCCATCCGCGGCTTCGTCGCGCTTTCCATCGATTGTCTCCTCGAAAGACGCACAAGCATCCCCAATTCGGGGGCTGTATCGAGCGGAACTTTCGCCGATGTTTCTCCCGCTGCCAGAAACACCGCGTGCGTGACGCGCGGAACTGCATCGAGCGTCGCTGCTGGCGGACGGGCGCAGTAACTCATTCCCCGCGCGGTCTTCTCGTCGCGCGGAACCACCGGCCGTGGCGGGAGTGGAAATTCCGCTTCCGTCCTCCGCACCCGCCGCGGGTTGTTTCGTCTGCTTGGCCCACATCCCAACGAGCGGGAACGACGAAATAGCGGCAGCGGCGGGGGCGGAGGCCGCCGCATTTGACGCAGCGGAATGCGGCGAACGTTGCGCCTCCGACCGGACGGGGCAAGAGCTGAATCTCCGCGCGACGTTGTGCGCGAAAGGTTCCGCAGATGCGTCCACGGCAGCGAATCCCGCCGAAAGCGCCGGGGGCTTGGGCGACGGCGGAGAAATTGGCGGCTTCCGACCGCGGGGACTCGGCGCGGCGCGTTGCGGCGCGGTATTCTGTTGAAAGATCATATTTCGTCGAGCAGCAACGGGGGATAACTGGGCGGCTTGATACGACGGCTGCTTCTGCTGCGAGGGTGACCGCATGGGCTGATTCGGATTGCTAGCTGAGGGAGAGGTATTCATTGGCTCTGGTCTGCGGTTTCTGACGTTGACGTCTAGTCGCTCCATCTCCGCTAACGTTCTCCGTCTGCTTATCGTTATTCGCGGACTGTCGCCGCTTGCGCTACCGCGCATGGCGACATTGCTTCCGGAAGTCCCTCTCTTGAGCGTGTTCAGAAACCCTTTCACGGAATATCCGCCGCGAGACGCGGCGGATTCGGCGGAGGGTGACCTAGCGGCTGTGCGACAGTCTCTGTTCAACGAGCCTTGCTGGTCCTGATTTTGGTGCTGACGCCATTGATGCGGCTCGCCGGACATGACGGCGACCTGAGACTGACATTGCATCATTTTGAACTCGGCGACGTCTGAAACGAAACTGAACTGTAGCGTTCACTGCTACTATGCGACTGACAAGCGCATCTGAATCACGGAATGGCTGAAGCGGAGAGCTACTAGCGCCGGAGATTCTAACTAACCTGACAAGAGGGTTCCGTGTAGTTATCGTCTGATCTATTTTCTTGAAATGGCGTTCTTGGAAGGGACTGAGAGCTATGTGAGAGTGAATGTCTATCATTCGCACTTGCTGTACTGTACTACTCATGTCGTACGGGGCTCTCGTAACTGAAGTCATCTCTAGTTGTCTGGTCCAGTGGTGCTTCTGTTTCAGTTCCCCGAACCGCCAAACGCTTGGTTGTGATGAACCGCGGGGGCTTCTCAACCAGGGGGGCCATCAGTGGATAAAAGCACTGTAACACTGATGGAAATTGGGGTAGAAATTGCCTTCTTATTGTTTGGGCTGTACAATACAGTGCCAATTTCGAAATTCAGGCCAAGCCTTGTTTGGTCCCAAAACAGCTGGGCCAGAGTGTAGTGTACCGTTCCAGCACAGTTGGTCACATGGATTCCGTCAAGAACCGTGCACCAGGTTTTACTACAAGGTTTTACGTGTACTGTACATGGTCGAGCCTCCGAAAACAAGGTGTCATGGAGTTGATTGCAGGAATCGTGTCCTTGTGGTCCTGAGTCCGATCGGATCCCGTAGATTGGCGTACGTTCAAAATGTCATGTGGGGCCTACCACTAGCGCATATTGTCATTTCGAAGTTGGGTTTGGGGGCAACTCCAAGTTTTTGGATTACGTGTTTCTGTCTGTACGTTAGTTCATCTTGAAAAAAATGAAAATGAACATATGATCAGGGGGCTTGCCCCCTGAACACCAAGTTCGGGTTTGATGTAAGTGCTTGGAGTTCGTGGAATGAGTAACCCTACTGAAAGCATTGGGTACCCACTCAATACAGTATGAAAACACCAAGAAAAATTTCGATAACCTTGATTCTGGAAGGAGAGGAAATCCATTTCAAAACCTTCGCTCATAAGGACGTGGGCCCAATCGAGTTTCATCCCGACTGATCTGATCGGGTCGGATCGCTTGTGATCACATTTCTCGCGCCGCCCGATCAGCGATGTTTTTTTCGAAAAAGTTTTGTTGCGCCTGCACAGCAAGCGCGGTTTAAATACCTGGTAATTTCTTCCTAGCGAGAACGGCGACCACAAGGCCACCTGACTAAAATCTTTGTTTCCCTGTAATATCGTAAACCCCATCCCGCACGATATCGAGGGCTGTTCCAAAGAGTTCTCGTGATTCGCAATGTATGGGCGAGGGTTTGACGAGACCTATTACAACTGCGTAACCTTTCGCAGGAGTCGTTATGGCCCCCGATCACATGGAATCCATCGCCTGTGGTCGAGGAAAACTGAGTTTGATCGGGGTGTAAATCGGGTCTGATCGAGTTGGATCGATCATCTTATTGCGATCAACTGATTGCCCCCGATTGCCTGAAATTGGCTTCCAGGCTTCTTGGAAGCTGTTGATCACTTCTAGTCGAGGCGATTCAACCCGATTGGGTCGACGTCCTAAAGGGTGGTGATGCGGCACCATCATAGCCACATAAACGTGCACATCGCCTTTCTTCGTGTCCATGAATTGTGCATGCATTTTCCCACACGTGATTTCGGGTCTGCTCGATTTGGGGCTTGCGGGTTCCACCTGTAGGGGCGGGCCCGGGTGTGGAATTTTCGGGCTTTGAGCGATGTGATGTGATAGCAACACCACTCACAGCTGGAAATCGTGGAATCCAGGCTTTGTGTGAAGCTCTCTCCCATCAGGGTGCACTCACTGCGCACCACAACTTCTGTAGTAGCACCGACTAAATAACTAGCAAAAAGTCACAGATATTTTGCACGTCGAGATGGTTGACATGCTGAAGGCTTGTAATCATAACCTCGCATGGACTTTGACATCCTGCATCTACTCGCAACGGAAATCTTCATCTTTTCCATCCGCCGGTTGCTGCAGCGGTTTGCAAATCCTGTAAGAGAAGTTCGTGGACAGGGTGTGGGCTCAAGATGGTAGAATCAGTTGGTGTGAGGGTAACGTTCCATCCACGCAGGCAGCTAGTCACTGGACAGCATATGTGGGCACGGTTGCGCCAACCATGCAATGGTCAAACGGCTCCAGCTAGCGCAATTGGCACGACAAAACCGCGTAGAGAGCTCATTCATGCAGCGTCATGAAATTGCAGAGCGCTCATGATACGCATTAAAGGGTTGCACGATCTCAGTTAAACAAGCAGAAGCAGCAGATAAACATAGCTGGTCGTATAAAAAACACACAGAGTTACCAACTCTGAATCTCTGGGGGGCAGGGCCCACGTTATCAGTGTAAATCACCCTGATGACCTGATTAGAAGGGTGATTTTTGGTAGTAACACTGATGCTGTTGGGTAATTTTTCGACACCTTGATTTACCCTAATGTGCCAGATTTTGAGATTAAGGAACACTGTCGCCTCAGGGTTGCCGTTCCGCTTATCGAGGTTTACCCTGAAGCACGTACCAACGAACCCCCACCCCCCCCGTCCCCTAACCATCCGACCCCGGGACTAGGATTTTCCCTTGGCCAACTGTCGAAAATGTAGATTTCGGCAGGACTTTACGTGTGCTGGAACGAGGTGGGCCACCATTGGCCAGAAATATAGTTTCATTCGAGGCAAGGAGAAAGTGCCGGAGCCAGAGGAGGACAATGACCACGAGCAACAACCTTGTGGCATGTCTGATGATGATGATTAAGCCTGTTATTGTGTGCTGTGTTAAGAACAACTGAAACAGGGTATTGAGAAAGCTTGCTTTCTTGTCCTTATAATTTGGCATCGTTCTCATTGCAACTGGCTTATTACAACATATGCATCGTTCGTAAACACATGCTAGTACATGCAAATATTACTAGCTATGGAGTCGTCCGTCCAAGCAGCTGTGGTCTTGTAGTTGGTCCGGGGTGGGTGGTGGGGATGTTGATTGAGCCGTTTGGAAAACGAGAAACGTGGGTGGAGGGAATGAACTCCAACCCACGGTTTTTGTAGTTGGAGAAGGGCGTTTAGCGCGCTTCGACGCTGCCAAATATTCGGTACAGTCAGCTTCGCTTTCACAATACACAATTTTGAAAAACATCAATGTATTTAAAAATTATAATATTGAGAAAGCTTGCTTTCTTGTCCTTATAATTTGGCATCGTTCTCATTGCAACTGGGGCCTCTGAGACATGGCCAGTGGTGGCTTGCGGTTGCGTAAGAGTGCCTCTGCGTGCTGTTCTGGGGGCAGCGCGTATGTCGGGTCCTGTAGGTCGCGGGATGCCTTGATAAGATGTCCGACGTATGGTGTGACGTACATCTCTTTGGCGGTGTCACTTCGCCACCTGCCCATCCTTTTGAAGATTCTGTCCGGCACGCCGATGTTGGCGGCTACGGTTGCCGCGCCCTTTCGGAAGGAGTGCGTGCCGAGCTGCTGCTCCCCAAGTCCTACTTTGGCGAATGCTTCTTTACACCAGTTTCGGATCGTTGTGTACGAGGGTGGCTTGGCCTGGCCCTTGTTGGCTGAAGCGTGGCTGAAAACGCGAATCAACGACCCCTCGGAATGAGGGCCATAGCCAGCGAGTTGGAGGAAGCGTTGGGTGCAGCGCACGGGGCAACAAGGGTCCGTCGTTGCGGCGATGGGAATCCAGGTTCCACGACCAGCCTGGTCCGTTTTTGAGTGTGGGATGAGGATCCACATGAGTGCATCGTCGAATTGGATGTCTTGCCACTGGATGGCAACGAGGTCGGAGTATCGCAAAAATCCGGAGTACATGAGGATAGGGATCAACCCCTTCTGAAATTCAGCGGGATTGTCCGACTGCAAGTAGTTCGCGGACATGTCCCGAACTTGTTGGATTGATACGGGCTCCTTCAAACGACTAGGGCGAGGGCAGTGTCGTTTTGCGTAGTCCCGCACTTGGGTGGTAAACGGTCCGACAGTCGGGCATTTGCTTCCAGTCATGCGATGGGCGAAGCTGACTGCCGAGCACGTGGGCTGCACTACAGACAAGGTTGCTTTGCGTTGGATTGCATGCACCAAGTATAGCGCGAGGGTCATGTCGGATGCGGGAAGAAATGGAAGATCCACCTTTGTGCAGAAGGCCCGAAACTTGGCCCAGTACGGTTCGTATGTACGGATTGTCGAATTCGCTCGCGATTGTGTGAGCATGTTGATGAGTTGGTTGTGTAGCTTTGGGAGCGGATCTGGACACAAGGCGCGTACATTCTCAATTAGTCAAAAACCACCCGAAGTGCGATGATTGGGCTGTGTGGTAATCCAGTGCCTGAAAAAGCAGCGGAATGTGTTCCAGTTGCCAGGCATTGGCTGCCGTGTGTCAAGGGAATGTGCGCGTGGATGTACGGTGCCCAGTTGCGTGGGGAAGGTTGTAAAAGTGGCCACCAGTTTGCACCCGGCCAGTGTGGGATGATCAATGTGAGCGATGCACGGGTGCGCTGTGCGTGATGGAGGACGGCCGGAACTAAATGGGGCGGGGGGAACGCAAAGCTATTTTCTGATGTCCATGCGAGCGAGAATGCATCGACTGCGGTGGCTTGTGGATGAGGAATTTTAGTGCAGAAGCGTGGCAGCTGGGAGTTGCGGGAGTTTGCAAAGAGGTCGATGGAATGGGGACCCCAACGCCGTTCTAAGATGCGGAACCACGGCGTCTTCAACGAGTAGTCGTCATGATCGACTGCTTTTGAGAGCTCATCGGCGTGTGAGTTTAGCTCCCGTGGGATCCATTCGATGATTAGACGCGTGCCGTGCTCCATGCATAGTCGAATGATGTCTTGGCAGGCCGTGGTAAGGTCGGGGCTGCGCGAGCCACCTTTGCGAAGGATGAAGAAGACGCCCTGATTGTCCACCCGCACAAGAACATGTTTGTGCGTGATCTTGCTGGAGTATGTTTGGAGTGCCCAAAGCACACCTTCGATCTCCCTCCGTGTGCTGGACGTCGCTCGCAGCGGCTCTGGCATTGTTGCGCTAGCTTCTTCGAGGCCGCCAGGAAATGTGGTCAAAGTGGCGCCCCAACTGTGAGCGCTAGCATCCACATGGATGACAGCGTCGTAGCTGTTTCGAACGTGAAACGGTGCACCGTTGAACCTGTCAAACTCTTCGAGCCAGAAGTTTAGCTCCTCAGCCGCGTTTGGGGGGATGATCACGCTGCTTTTCCATGAAGGTGCGTCATTGATCACTTGTAGCATGGCGTGGCTGAAAGCACGAGCTGTTGCGCCCAGCGCGACGCCCATTGACGCGAGCATGCCTGTGATTCTGGCCACTTGGCGGACTGAGACGGGTCGACATGCCTTGCTTGCGCTCAACAGGTTCCGAATGGTTGCATGTAGTGAGGCTCGTCGTTCGGGACCGATGGTAAATCGGCCTGTGGCCGTGTCTAGCTCCACACCCAAGAATCGAAGGTGTTGCGATGGTGACAGCTGTGATTTCTTCGCATTTATCACCAAACCTGCTGCTTTAAGGTCCAGTATTACACGGTGGCAAGTAGCCTGCGCGTGAGCTTTTGACTGGCAAAGGAATAAGATGTCGTCCACGTATGGTACTACTCGGATGCCTTGCTCCCGCCAGCGACGGGCTAGCTGCTTGATGAGTTGCGTGAAGATGAATGGGGCTGTCGCAAGACCGAACGGCAATGAACGAAAGGAGTAAGTGCGCCCATCGAATCCAAAACCGAGAAACTTCCAGCATGAAGGATGGATATCGATGTGATGGTACCCGGATTTGAGATCAATAGAAAACATCCAATCCCCAGCGCGTGCCACGTCTGCCACACGGCTGAGTCCTTCGTACTTGAATTTTGGGACGATGAGGTTTGTGTTGACTTTTCTCAGGTCGAGGATGAGCCTGCATTTTTCTTTCTGCTCGACCACGTTAAGTGGGCTTATGCACGTAAGCTCGCTTGCGGCTGTCTCGACTGCAGCTCCGGTCTCTGTGAGTTCTTGGATGGCAGTACGTGTGAACGACGCATGCGCGTATGCACCAGCGTGGTTACGCTCCCGAAAGGCCTGTGGTGGGCCGTGGCTCCATGGAAGCCAGTAACCGTTGGCGATGATGGATAGGACGAGGCTGCAAGGGCACCATGAGCTCCACCACGCAAAGGTCGAGCGAAGCCGACCGCACATCCGTGTGACGGTTTTGTCCGTGACGGCGAATTCGTACGGGCCATCGTCGCGAGGCACCTCGTATTGTTGTGCTCCTGTATGTACGGCAAGGAAATGAACGCGAACAATCAGGTTGCACGCCTTAATTAGTTCATGCGTGTGACATATACATGCATGCGCGAAAAATGAACCGTCAACAGTGAGGACCATACGGACGGTTTGTCGTCATTCCATATAGGGCGTCCGATCGCACCTTGGCAAACTCTTTCTCATACTCTCTCCTTTTCCCTCCCCTCGTTTTTTTTTTTTTTTTTTTTTTTGGAGGATTGATGCTTGGGACCATGATCATGCTTCCCTCGTGTGCTCTCTCTCTCTCTCTCTCTCTCTCTCTCTCTCTCTCTCTCTCTCTCTCTCTCTCTCTCTCTCTCTCTCTCTCTCGCTCTTTCTCTCTCCCTCTCTTTTTGGATGTGTTTCCATTGTTGTTTGAGCATTTGCATGCTTCGCTTGTCATGAGCTCGTGTCTTTTCGCGCGTGCCTTTACTTGGGCTAGGCGACATCGCTATGCCCTACTCCCCCCCCCTTGCTCCTTCTCACCCTTTTTGGGCTTCCAACGGTTGAACCAGGGCTGCTCATCCTTGCCATGCATGGTGGCGGTTTGAGTGAGGAGCGTACGTACTCTCTTTTTCTCCCTCTCCCCTTCTCCTCCTCTTTTTTTTTTTTTTTTTTTTTAAAATCCGTGACAAACAAGAGGGGCCTTTAATAAAATCCCTATCTCTCATGGTCATACATTGTCATGCCTACTAGCATGTTTCTCATCCCATCAATTGGGGCATACGGGGGACCGAGAGGCATTCTTCCTCTTCCCCAAAGCTAGACCTACGGCCATACTTTATTACCCTATCCTAGGGGACCGAGAGGCATTCTTCCTCTTCCCCAAAGCTAGGCCTATGGCCAACTTCTACCACCCTATCCTAGGGCTGGCCATGGCCACCGCAAGCCCTACTAGGCTGCCCACGGTCTTGTCAGAACTATATAGCTTATACTATTGTGTAGGCTATAGTGGGGTATCCCATAGGGGGTACAACCCAATTAGGGTTTCCTATTTGTACTCACTTCTTTCATAGTCATTCCATTCTCGTTCTCTCTTTCACATGGAATCAGAGCAGGTCCCCTACTAGGGACTGTTTCTTGGGCCCACCGAAGCGCGCCCCGAGGCGCGCGTCCTTTTTTTTAGCGACCCGTCGTGTCGCCCTCCCTAGCGGCCTGTCGAGCCGCCCTACCTTGCGGCCCCGCCGCCCTATCGCGCGGCCTCGCCGCCCTAAGTCGCGGCCTGCCCGCCGCCCTACTTCGACGGCCCCGCCGCCCTACGTCGTGGCCCGCCGCCCTACTTCGACGGCCCGCCCGCCGCCCTACGTCGCGGCCCCGCCGCCCTGCGTCCCGGCCCGCCCGCCGCCCTACTTCGACGGCCCGCCCGCCGCCCTACGTCGCGGCCCCGCCGCCCTACGTCCCGGCCCGCCCGCCGCCCTACTTCGAAGGCCCGCCCGCCGCCCTACGTCGCGGCCCCGCCGCCCTCAGCTACGCGGCCCCGCCGCCTTCTGCTACGCGGCCCTGCCGCCCTCTGCTACGCGGCCCCGCCGCCCCTCGATCGCGGCCCCGCCGCCCTCTGCTACGCGGCTCCGCCGCCCTCTGCTACGCGGCCCCGCCGCCCTCTGCTACGCGGCCCCGCCGCCCTCTCCTACGCGGCACCGCCCCCTCTGCTCCGCGGCCCCGCCGAGCCGCCCAGCATCAGCCGAGCCGCCCAGCAGCAGCCGAGCCGCCGCCGAGCCGCCGCCGCCTGAGCCGCCGTCCGGGCCGCCGCCGAGCCGCCGCCGCCTGCGCCGCCGAGCCGGAGCCGCCCGAGCCGCCGCCGAGCCGCCCAGCAGCAGCCGAGCCGCCGCCGAGCCGCCGCCGCCCGAGCCGCTGAGCTGCGACCGAGCCGCCGCCCGAGCCGCCCGAGCCGCCCGAGCCGCCGTGCTGCTGTTCCTGAGCTGTGTTCTTCTGCTGCTGACCTACCCGACTCTCCCAGCCCGGTGAGACTTCCAGCTGCTGCCATGGCCACCCCCAATGTTCTTACTTTTGACGCTGAGGGGAGGGCCATTGACTTTGCCGTCTGGATTGAAGACCTGCAGCTGTACTTACTGTGTGATGCGATAGATGAGGTCTCTCTTTTTGACTTTGTCTCTGGCGCTGTTCCTGCCCCACCTGCTGATGCTGAATCTGCCGTTCGCTCCAAGTGGGCGACCCGCGATGCTGCTGCACGTCTTGCTGTGCGTCGCCACCTCCCTTCCTCTGAGCGTGCCCACTTTAGTCAGTGCAAGACCGCTCAGGCCTTGTACGACGCTGTAGTTGCACGCTACTCCTCCCCTTCCTCCGCTACCCTTAGCCGCCTCATGCTACCGTTTCTCTTCCCTGACCTCGCTTCCTTTCCCACTGTCGCTGACCTCGTTACCCACCTCCGTGCTAGTGACACCCGCTACCGCGCTGCCCTTCCTGCTGAGTTTCGCGCTGCGAACCCTCCTCCCATGTACATCACCCTCTACTTTCTCGTCACCCGTCTCCCTGAGTCCCTTCGTGTCGTTAGGGACCAGTTTCTCTCTGTCTGTCCCACCACTCTCACTGTCGACCTCCTTGAGGAGTCCCTGCTAGCGGCTGAGAAGAGTATTGTCGCTGTAGGGGCCTCTCGGGGTGACCCTCGCACCCCCATCTTTGAGGGGTGTGGTCCTTCCCCCCTGCTGCCCTTTGTCGCCTCTGCCGCTGCGGCCGACCTCACTGGCTTTGAGTCGGTCGGCGCGGCGTCTGCCCCCAGCGGCAGACGCCGCTCTGGCAAGAGCAAGGGGGGCAAGGGAGCGGGTGGAGCTCGAGGGGGCGGTGGAGGAGGCGGTGGGGGTGGCGGGGGGAGTGGGGGTGGCGGTGGGGGTGGTGGCGGGAGTGGAGGTACTGGTGGCGGCGGTGGAGGCGGAGGTGGCGGCGGAGGTGGTAGCGGAGGAGGCGGTGGGAGCGGTGGGAGCGACGGTCCTGGTGGGGGAGGTGGCGGTGGAGACGGGGGTGGCGGTGGAGGCGGGGGTGGCGGTGGAGGCGGGGGTCGGAGTGGCTCTTCCCAGCGGAGCAGCTCTGGGGGTGGTCAGCGCCAGCAGCAGCAGCAGCAACAGCAGCAGCCGCAGCAGCAGCCACAGCAGCAGCAGCGCTCTCGCACCGTCCCCGGCCCTCAGCAGCTCCGTGAGTGGTACTTGCAGCGTCAGCGTGGTGGTGCGCTTGGTCCCTGCCCCTACGTTCTTCGCACAGGTGACCGTGCAGGGGAGAGGTGTGGAGGCGCCCACACAGCCCGCCGCTGCTTTGGCCGCCTGACCGACGCCTGGCGTCAGCAGTTTCCGGAGGCCGCTGAGATCCCCCGCTGGGGAGAGCTGTCTAGGGCTGGTGTAGCTATTTTTGATCTTGATTTTGATGCTATTCTCTCTGCTATGTATGCTGTGACTGGTAGTGATGAGGATGACTGTTACCGGTGTTTCCCGCCCGACCCGGGCATTGGTACTGCCGCGTCAGGTACTAGTGAGGCTGCTGCTCTAGGTGCCAGTGCGTCTGTGCTCTCAGGTGCTGGTGAGTCTGCCCTCTCAGGTACTGTGTCGGCTTCGGCCTCTCACACCTTCACCCTTGACTCTGGAGCGTCTCGCTCCTTCTTTAGGGACCGCACCACTCTCACGCTGCTGAGTCGACCGGTTGCGGTGTCCCTGGCTGACCCCTCTGGGGGGCCTGTCCTGTCTCGCTTCTCCACTGTCCTCCCGTGTCCGGCGGCCCCCTCTGGCACCCTGACTGGTCTCTACCTCCCCTCGTTCTCGACGAACTTGGTGAGTGGTGCTGACCTCCAGGATGCGGGTGTCCACCAGTTCACCCCTGCTCGTCAGCGGGTGACCCACTGCACGGAGGCGGATACAGGTCGCCACCTGGCTACGTTTACACGTCGGCCAGGGTCGAGCCTGTACACACTGACCACGGCTTCTCCTCCAGGTGCTGAGTCTGGTAGGGTCCCTTCGTCTGGTCAGGTGTTTGCTGCAGCGTCCAGGTCTGGTCCTGAGTCTGCCCCCTGCTCGTGTCGTCGTCTGTCTCACGAGACCCTCCTCTGGCACCACCGCCTTGGCCACCCCTCTCTGCTTCGGCTCAGAGGCATGGCCTCGCGAGTCCTTGTGTCTGGTCTTCCCCGGTCTCTCCCTCCCCTTCCTCCGGGCCCTGGCCCTACCTGTGTCCCCTGTGTCGAGGGGCGCCAGCGGGCTGCCCCTCACTCCTCCCAGTTTCCTCCGACAGAGGCCCCGTTGCAGACGCTTCACATGGACGTGTGGGGCCCAGCCCGCGTCCGTGGACAGGGTCAGGAGCGCTACTTCCTGCTGGTGGTTGACGACTACTCGCGTTACACCACAGTCTTCCCCTTGCGCAGCAAGGGTGAGGTCACTGCGGTGTTGATCGACTGGATCCGCGCAGCTCGTCTCCAGCTTAGGAGGAGCTTTGGCTCTGACTTCCCTGTTTTGCGTCTGCACTCGGACAGAGGCGGAGAGTTCTCCTCTGGCCTCCTGAGTGCCTACTGTCGTGCACGAGGCATCCGTCAGACCTTCACGCTTCCGGACTCACCACAGCAGAATGGGATTGCTGAGCGCCGCATTGGCATGGTCATGGACGTCGCTCGTACGTCCATGATGCATGCGGCTGCTCCCCATTTTCTGTGGCCGTTTGCGGTCAAGTACGCTGCGCACCAGATCAACCTCCACCCCAGGGTCTCTCGACCGGAGACCTCCCCAGCCCTGCTGTGGACGGGGAAGGTTGGCGATGCGTCGGCGTTCCGGGTCTGGGGATCTCGGGCGTTTGTTCGCGACGTGTCTGCGGACAAGCTGTCCCCTCGTGCTTCTCCCTGCGTCTTCCTGGGGTTCCCCCCCGACGCCCCTGGGTGGCAGTTTTACCACCCCACCTCTCGACGTGTTCTGTCCTCCCAGGACGTCACGTTCGACGAGTCGGTACCCTACTACCGCCTCTTCCCCTACCGCACTCCGTCCCTCCCCCCACCCCCGCTCTTCCTGGTACCAGGTCCCCCCTCGGTAGTCCCCCTCCCCCCTCAGGGTCCTGCCCCTTCGGGTGTGTCCCAGGTAGACGCGGTCGAGCCTGTCGAGGTCACTGGTGACTCTGGTGCTGCTGCGGGAGCTGAGCCTGGGGGTGCGGAGTCTGGGGGTGCTGAGCCTGGGGGTGCTGAGCCTGGGGGTGCTGAGCCTGGGGGTGCTGAGCCTGGGGGTGCTGTGCCTAGGGGTGCTGAGCCTGGGGGTGCTGCGTCTGGGGGTGCTGAGCCTGGGGGTGCTGCGTCTGGGAGTGCTGAGCCTGGAGGTGCAGAGCCTGGGGGTGCTGTGCCTAGGGGTGCTGAGCCTGGGGGTGCTGTGCCTGGGGGTGCTTCCTCTCGCCGGGAGCCACTCTCCCCGCAGGAGCTGCGTGAGTGGTTTGCCAGGCGCTGGAGGTGTGCTGCTGGTACTGGTGGTTCTTCGGCTGCTGAGGGTACTGCTGCCTCGCGTCCCGCCGGTGCTCGCACTGTGGGTGCTGGAGCTGCTGGGTCTGAGAGTTCTCCTGGAGCTGGTGCTACTGAGGGTGTTGGCGCTGAGCCTGCCGTTGGCGGTCCGACTGACAGTGCTCCTGGTGCTGCTGCTGGAGGTTCTGGAGCTTCTGGTGGTGCTGCTGGAGGTGCTGCTGGAGTGGGTACTCCTGCCGGGGCTGCTGGTACTGTTCCTGCTGTTTCTGGTGTCGCCGCGCGGCCCCGACCTTACTTCGTTCCGCTCCTGCAGCAGGTTCTTGGTCTTCCGCCTCCTCCTCCTCCTCCCTTAGAGGGTCCGCAGCCTGTCCGGTCACAGCCACAGCTACAGCCTGCCTCCCCTTTGCCTGCTCCGTCTCCCTACACTGGTCCGACTGGAGGTCTTACTGAGCGTCGTGAGCCTGCGTCTCGTCCTGTGTCGCCTGTTCGTACTGAGCGCGCTAGTGGTCGCGGGTCGCGTCAGCGTCCTCCTCCTGTCCCGGGCACGCACCGGATGTCACTGCGTCCGTCCACTGCTCCTCTGCGTGCCCCTTTGCCTTCTCCTCCTGCTTCCTCTCTTCCTGCTCTTGCCGACCCGGAGTCGGACTCCCTTCGTGCTGCCAGTCCTACTGTCACGCGTCTCCTTGCTACAGCTGTCACTGACCCTTCCTTCGAGTCGTCTGCTGCGTCTGCCCTTGTCACTGAGCTTGTCGACTTTGCTGCGCGCTGTCGTCTAGACTACGCTGCCCGTCTTGTCACTGAGTCTGAGTCCGCCTGTCCTCCGTCCGTCGGGGGTGAGTGTGCCCTTGGCACGGACGTCCTTGAGGACAGGCAGGAGGAGTTCCAGTGTCTGGCCGCCGCTTCACCTCGTCTCGCGTCTGTACTACTAGCCCCTGAGGGAGACCCGGATGCACCAGACATCCCGACTCCGCGCTCTTACGCGGAGGCGATAGAGGGTCCCTACTCCTCTCAGTGGCAGGCAGCTATGGATGCAGAGATGGCTTCCTGGAAGTCCACAGGCACCTACGTTGACGCTGTTCCCCCCCCTGGGGCGAACATCGTCAGTGGCATGTGGATTTTCAGGGTGAAGCGGCCGCCGGGTTCTCCGCCTGTCTTCAAGGCGCGTTACGTGGCTCGTGGCTTCAGTCAGCGGCAGGGGGTTGACTACTTTCAGACCTTCTCCCCCACCCCGAAGATGACCACTCTTCGGGTCCTGCTGCACGTTGCTGCTCACCGTGACTACGAGCTGCACTCTCTCGACTTCAGCACAGCTTTCTTGCAGGGCAGCCTGCACGAGGAGATCTGGCTGCGTCGCCCACCTGGCTTCACTGGGTCTTTCCCTCCTGGTACCCAGTGGAGTCTCCGGCGTCCAGTCTACGGTCTCCGCCAGGCGCCACGTGAGTGGCACGACACACTGAGGACTACGCTCGCGGCACTTGGGTTTGCTCCTTCTACTGCCGACCCGTCGCTGTTTCTGCGCACCGACACCTCTCTGCCGCCGTTCTACATCCTCGTGTACGTCGACGACTTGGTCTTTGCCACAGCTGACACTGCTGGACTCGCCTACGTGAAGTCCGAGCTGCAGAAGAGACACACGTGCACTGACCTGGGTGAACTGCGCAGCTATCTTGGCTTGCAGATCACCCGGGACAGAGCACGCCGCACCATTACCCTGACTCAGTCACACATGGTGCAGCAGGTCCTTCAGCGCTTCGGCTTCACGTACTCCTCGCCTCAGGCCACTCCTCTGCCTACTCGCCACTCGCTCTCAGCTCTGCCTTCGGATGAGTCCGTAGAGTCGAGTGGCCCGTATGCAGAGCTTGTTGGCTGCCTCATGTACCTGATGACCTGCACACGACCTGACCTTGCATACCCTCTTAGCATTCTCGCACGCTATGTTGCTCCTGGGAGACACCGACCAGAGCACATGGCTGCAGCGAAGAGGGTGTTGCGCTACTTGTGCAGTACGTCGGGCATGGGGCTAGTGCTTGGAGGGCGCAGTCCAGTGGTCCTCACTGGGCACGCGGACGCTTCTTGGGCTGACGACCAGGCTACGCAGCGGTCGTCACAGGGTTACACCTTCAGCCTTGGTTCCGGCTCTGTTTCGTGGCGGGCTACCCGCTCGTCTTCTGTTCTCGGCTCCAGTTGTGAGGCTGAGATCTACGCCGGGGCTATGGCTGCACAGGAGTTACGCTGGCTCACCTACCTGTTGACCGACCTTGGAGAGCAGCCTCGTTCTCCTCCAGTCCTGTACGTAGACAACAAGGCCATGCTGGCCTTGTGTCGAGAGCAGAGACTGGAGCACAGAACGAAGCACATTGCTCTCCGCTACTTTCTTGCTCGTGAGCTACAGCAGCGTGGACAGTTGCGACTTGCGTACGTGGCCTCTGAGGCCAACACTGCTGATGTCTTCACCAAGGCACTTGCGCCTTGTGATCATCAGCGTTGTTGCACGCAGTTGGGTCTTGTGCCTGTCTTGCCTCACTTGCTCTCCTCTTGACCTTGCTTGTACCTTCGCCTATATATACTCTTGCTCTTGCTTACTTGACTCTTGTATATCTCTATATATGATCTTGCATGTGAACTGGCCATGTGGCCTTGAACTTGTGCTCAGAATGTGTGGTGACTTTGTGATCCACCCTGAGCTTTGCTTTGCTTTGCTTGACTGGTCTTGTGACCCCTTGTTCTCCCCACTTTGCCTATGGGGGTGTGTCAGAACTATATAGCTTATACTATTGTGTAGGCTATAGTGGGGTATCCCATAGGGGGTACAACCCAATTAGGGTTTCCTATTTGTACTCACTTCTTTCATAGTCATTCCATTCTCGTTCTCTCTTTCACAGGTCTAAGCACTCAAAAGTGCACCGTGCATCGCGCCTAGAGGCGCGCTTCACCATAGCCCGAACCTTACACAACCGGTGCGGGTCCTTGGCCCCCATGCCCATTCCGAGGGCAGGCATTGGCGACGTGGCCTGGCTGTCCGCAGCGGAAACACGAACCACGAAAGCCTTGGAAGTTGCCCGAGGTTGGAGGGCCACGTTTTGGGGCGAACGCCTTGGCGCCGTGGTTTCCACCACGGTGGGAGCGAGCGTGAGCGCCCGCCGCTCGGTCCATGGCAGCCACGTCCGCGACGGCTTGCTTGAACGGCCGCGAGGTGAGAAGGCTTTTCTCCAGGTACATCTTGTAGCGCTTGGCAACGCGGTCGTCGGATGCGTCTTCGACTTGAAACATGTCGAAGCGCGCGGAAATGTCGTCGAGGGCGGCGACGACCATTTCGAGTCCGCCCGCCGAGTCGCCGTGCTGCAGCTTGTGCTCTGCGTGTTTCAGGTAGGCCCGCATGTCCTCCAGAATCTCCGCTTTCGCCCGCACGTGCTCGTCGTTGAACGTCGCCGCCGACCAAGTGGTGTTAGTAGTAGAGGGGAGGGGGGGAAGATGCTCCATGGAATGAAAATTTGCGGTATGGACCGGAGCCTCACCATCATCGTCGTCGGAGCCGTCGGTGTCGTTGTCGGCCGCTGGCGCAGGTGGGATGCTGGCTGGTGCTTCCTTGTTGTGCCGGTTCGCCGTTGTTCCTCGCGCTCCTTTTTCTTTTTTTTTGCGTTTTCCTTGTTAGCAGATGCAGACGCCGCGGGTTGTGCAATTTCCGTAGCTGTAACGCTGGCGGGTTGTTGCTGTAACAGGGACAGAAGCGCAGCGACCTGGTCCGGAGTCAACGCGTTGGTCAACGCCGGGGTCGTCGCGTCAGAAGAAGTCGATGTTCGGCGCCTCTGGCGCTGACGCGACGGTCCAGCCACAGGCGCCGGCGTGTGCTCCGCGTCAGGCGCGTGTGGCACCCCAGGTGCTGCAGGTGCCGCCGTCGCCACTTGCGCCACACGCGCCTCAGGCGCCACAGGCGCCACAGGCGCCACAGGGGCCGAGGGGTGCTGCTGCTGGGGCGGGCTCGAGTTTTTTTTGACCTCGAGCCCGCCCAACAGCACGTCCACGGCAGTTGGGGCGGGCGATCCTTCCTCTGCCCGCCGCTTGTTACGGCGATCGCCCGTCATTTCTCGGGCGTTACGGTCGGAGTCGGAAACCGGCGCAGACGAATTGACGCGGTTAAGTGCCGGCGTAGACGCCATTGTAGATCGATTGTGGTTGAAAATGTCTTGCAGAAGTGTTGAGGGTGACTCGCCTCTGGGAAGGGTGCGAGTTCTAGCCAGCTTGGACGGGGAAAAGAACTACTCGAACGGAAATGTTGATTGAGCCGTTGGAAAACGAGAAACGTGGGTGGAGGGAATGAACTCCAACCCACGGTTTTTGTAGTTGGAGAAGGGCGTTTAGCGCGCTTCGACGCTGCCAAATATTCGGTACAGTCAGCTTCGCTTTCACAATACACAATTTTGAAAAACATCAATGTGTTTAAAAATTATAATTTTGCGAATTGGTGCACTGATGCCTCAGGGTAGTCGTTTTAATACATGCAAAAACCCTGACGCATCAGGTTTTCCACAACGGATAACCCTGAAAATCAGGTTTTTGAACAGGTTCTAGACTGACTGTAAAGGTTGGTCAAAACAAAAAATGAGCCCTGCTGGGGGTGCAAAACTTGATCACAAATGACTCAACCTTTTCTTTGCTCTTACATAGATCCTAGATGTAATACGTAAATCCACGGAATGGTGAAGGGGTATGTGCGCGTGAGAGGAGATAGTTGTCAAATACCGTAATAGAAGAGGGGAAAACAGGAAACAACTTATAGATAAAGCGGAAGGGGGAAGACCAAATGGAGTGCAAGGCCAAATGGATGAAAGAGTTGGTGTAGAGGTAATGAATCATTCTTTCCATGTTATAAGAAATCCGTATCTAAACCTGTATCGCATGATACCATATCTTGGGAACTTTCAGTTTCAAGCTGCGGAAAAACTACTTGATACAGCTCTCTTTCACCTTCATTCCCTACAAGTCTTCCCCTCAAGCCGGTTCCCTGACGAGCTCGCCACCGTGGCGTCGCACTGTGTTCCTCTCTCAGTGGAGCGGACAATCGCGACGCGCGTGGGTTTGGACACGTGGCGAGTCCGCTCTGCGCGATCCACGCCGTGCTTCCCAAGGTGCCGCGTAGATTTTCTTGCTAAAACCTTCCTCGCACCACCATCCGAATTCTCAAATTCAAGGACAGGGAACCCGCTGCAAAGTTTGTGTGGAAATAGCTCGTCCGTCGAAACGCAACTGGCGCAGTTTAAAGTCCTTAACTCCGGCGGCGCGTCGCGGCTTACCTTTGCTTATGCTTTCGCGCACGGGTGGATTGGACCACGCAGTCCAGAACTGATTGCTAGACTTAGCACCCGTTTTATAGCGAATCGTTCAGTTCGCACTACTGCTGCTGGGAAACACAGCTTGGGGTGGGAAGCTGGAACGAAGGCAGGAACAGGAAGGGAGGTATTGACCGGAGGAGCAGCCTTTACAGGAGCGAGTAGTCGAGAAACTCAATATCGAGGATTCGCCTCAGTGCACCTTGGCTCACCTCAAACGTCGTTCCGCGAATTTGCGTCTGTCCAAGGGCGGTTTCAAGATCAGCAGCAGTTGCAAAGGAGCCAATTGCGTGAATTTCAGGTCCCACGATCAGCGCCGACGTCAGCAACGGCCGCGCCGGAAGATCCTAGCCTGGACGCGGCTGAGTCAGCGCGTGAAAATTACACGTCAGAAGCGGTAACTTCCACGTCAGCGGGTGCGGAGTTCGCGGAGCCGCTAAAGCGCCCGCCTCGCGTCGGTTCCGCGATGGCGTTCGGCGATCCCGAGGCGGTGCGGGTGACGGGGGAGGTGCGGCTGAGTGCGGACGAGTCGCACTTGTTCAGCACTCTGAGGGACGTGGTGTCGCACTACGGACTGGGCACACAGCTGCGCGTGGCGGGTGGATGGGTGCGCGATAAGGTGAGGTGAAGCGAGAGATTTGGCAAGGTGAGGTGTGAAGCAAAGGAGCGGCACTTATCAGCACTCTAAGGGACGTGCTTTGGTGTCGCACTATGGACTGGAAGCACGCAGCTGATGGTGGCGGGCGGACGGGTGCGCGACAAGGTGAGTGGTGACGCAAACGGGGTGTGAAGCAAGGGAGGTGTGACAGAAAGGAGGTGTGAAGCAAGAGAGCAGCACTCGAAGGGACGTGCTTTGGTGTCGCACTATGGACTGGAAGCACGCAGCTGAGGGTGGCGGGCGGATGGGTGCGCGACAAGGTGAGGGGGGAGGCCGGAAAGGGGTAAAGCAAGCAAGGGAGGTTCTTTGGCATTGACACCACTGCACTCGACAACCTGCTGGGGATTCAATTCGCAGGGAAGGTCAGTTAATGCTCTCCCTTTCCCTCTCCCGCTTTGCTTTCCCTTCCATTCCTCTTATCCCCTTTTTGTCCATTCTCTCCTTTGCCCATTCCTGCTCAGCTTCCAGTCCAACCCTCTCCACCCCACTCCACCCCACTGAATCGCAGCTGATAGGCTGGGACTGCATAGACATTGACATAGCTCTTGACAACCTGCTGGGGCGGAAATATGCAGAGAAGGCAACTTGTTGATTCACCCCCTCCCATCCCTCTCCACCCCTCTGCACCCCTCTCCATCCCACTCAATCGCAGCTGATCGGGCGCGACTGCATAGACATTGACATAGCTCTGGACAACCTGCTGGGGAGGGAGTTTGCAGAGAAGGTCACCGAATACCTCAAGGAGCGAGGGGAGGTCGTGCGGGGCGTGGGGGTCATCCAGAAGTGAGTGGGGGGCTCAGGGCGTGGGGGTTTAGGGCGTGGGGGAAAGTGAGTGGAGGGTTTAGGGCATGGGGCAAAGTGAGTGGAGGGAATTCAGAAGAGGGTTCGGGGTATAGGGTTTGAGAGAGTTTGCAGAGAGGGTCACGGAATATCTCAAGGAACGAGGGGAGGTCGTGCGGGGCATGGGGGTCATTCAGAAAATGAGTGGGGGGTTTAGGGCTTGGGGGAAAGTGAGTGGAGGGAAGTCAGGAGAGGGTTTCGGGTATGGGAGTTGAGAGAGTTTGCAGAGAGGGTCACGGAGTATCTGACGGATTAGGGGAGGTCGTGCTGGGCATGCAAGTCATTCAGAAATGAGTGGCGGGTTTAGGGCTTGGGGGGAAAGTGAGTGGAGAAGTCAGGAGACGGTTTAGGGCATGCAGGTTGAGAGAGTTGGGCCAAGGAAGGAGCGAGGAGAGGTCGTTCTGGGCATAGGGGTCTTCAAGAAATGAGTGGCGGGGAGTGAGGCGAGGGTTGGGCCATGCTGTGTGAGGGGCTGTGCTGCGCTTACCTTACCACCTCTCTCGCTTGTAGTTCAAAAGTCGCTACTGTCTATGTAGTGTGTTTGAGTCGACTCCCAACACACTTGGCCCATGCAGGGCAAGGGGCTGTGCTTACCTTAACACCACTCGAGTGGCTTACCTTTGCACCATGCTCGCTTGTAGTTCATGTGAAATGTCGCCACTGTACTTCTCCTTCGCTTGTCTGGCCATGTGTGTGCTTCCTACATGGCCATGTGTGCGCTTCCTACATGGCAATGTGTGTGCTTCCTACATGGCCATGTGTGTGCTTCCTACATGGCCATGTGTGTGCTTCCTACATGGCCATGTGTGTGCTTCCTACATGGCCATGTGTGTGCTTCCTACCTACTCCTGCAGGAACCCCGACCAGTCGAAGCACCTGGAGACGGCAACGATGATGATTCACGGCATGTGGATCGACTTTGTGAACCTGCGGGCCGAGGAGTACGCCCACGACTCCAGAATCCCTCACACCATTGTGAGTGCTCTCTCTTACTGGTTACAGTATTAGACATGGTTACAGGGTTACTAGCTGATATGGCTCTGTCTCAGAGGGCACAATAGTACACCCACGAATCCAGAATCCCACCTTTCTCCCATAGTAAGAGCTCAATATTTCCGGCGAGCTGCTAGATGTATGGCTTTTGAGTCGACTCAAAAGCATAGTAAGAGCTCAATATTTCCTTGATGGCCGAACGGCAAGGTTCAGGCGAGCTGCTATTGCTTCAATTTGTTCATTCCCCCTCACGTCCCCGTTGCTTCCGTGGCAGGAGTTTGGGACAGCAGAGGAGGATGCTCTGAGAAGGGATTTGACGATCAACAGCATGTTTTACAACATCAGCACGGAGCAAATCGAGGACCCCACTGGGCGAGGTGAGAGGAGTGGTGAGGCGTGTGAGTGAATGAATGTGTGGGCCGAGACATGAACATCGACAGTCTGAATATGTGGAGGATGGACCTGACCGTCGACCTGAATATGCTTTTCAACATTTCAACGGAGCAAGTGGAGGACCCCACGGGGCGAGGTGAGAGGAGGGGGAGAGTGAGGCGCCTCATAGATGCTGTGGTGGGGTGGTCGCTCTGAGGAGGGATCTGACGATCAACACCATGTTCTACAACATCCAAGTGGAGGACCCCACCACTGGGCGAGCGAGGTGAGGAGTTTGTTGTGGTGAGGCATCTTCTGCTTTTTGAGAATTCTCAAAAGTGAGGCATCTTCTGCTTTTTGAGAATTCTCAAAAGTGAGGCATCTTCTGCTTTTTGAGAATTCTCAAAAGTGAGGCATCTTCTGCTTTTTGAGAATTCTCAAAAGTGAGGCATCTTCTGCTTTTTGAGAATTCTCAAAAGTGAGGCATCTTCTGCTTTTTGAGAATTCTCAAAAGTGAGACATCTTCTGCTTTTGAGAATTCTCAAAAGTGAGGCATCTTCTGCTTTTTGAGAATTTTCAAAATTGAGGCATCTTCTGCTTTTTGAGAATTCTCAAAAGTGAGGCATCTTCTGCTTTTGAGAATTCTCAAAAGTGAGGCATCTTCTGCTTTTTGAGAATTCTCAAAAGTGAGGCATCTTCTGCTTTTGAGAATTCTCAAAAGTGAGGCATCTTCTGCTTTTGAGAATTCTCAAAAGTGAGGCATCTTCTGCTTTTTGAGAATTCTCAAAAGTGAGGCATCTTCTGCTTTTTGAGAATTCTCAAAAGTGAGGCATCTTCCGCTTTTGAGAATTCTCAAAAGTGAGGCATCTTCTGCTTTTTGAGAATTCTCAAAAGTGAGGCATCTTCTGCTTTTGAGAATTCTCAAAAGTGAGGCATCTTCTGCTTTTTGAGAATTCTCAAAAGTGAGGCATCTTCTGCTTTTTGAGAATTCTCAAAAGTGAGGCATCTTCTGCTTTTGAGAATTCTCAAAAGTGAGGCATCTTCTGCTTTTGAGAATTCTCAAAAGTGAGGCATCTTCTGCTTTTTGAGAATTCTCAAAAGTGAGGCATCTTCTGCTTTTTGAGAATTCTCAAAAGTGAGGCATCTTCTGCTTTTGAGAATTCTCAAAAGTGAGGCATCTTCTGCTTTTGAGAACTCTCAAAAGTGAGGCATCTTCTGCTTTTGAGAATTCTCAAAAGTGAGGCATCTTCTGCTTTTGAGAATTCTCAAAAGTGAGGCATCTTCTGCACGCCACTTTCCCCCCCACCAGGCCCTATACGACCCTCGTTCGTTGCTCTTCCTATCATCCAGCCAAGGCACCTAACCTCCCGTTCCCCCTCCTCCCCCACTCAGGAATATTGGACTCGAATGGAGGCCCCATCCACACGCCTCTCCCTCCCTTCCCACCAGACCCTATACGACCCTTGTTGCTCTTCCTATCATCCAGCCTGCACCCCACACTCACCAAAGCCCCCACCCCCTCATTCCCCCCCACATCCCTCCCCTTCCCAGGAATCGCTGACCTGAATGGGGGCATCATTCGCACGCCTCTCCCTCCCCACCAGACCTTTCTCGACGACCCTCTCCGAGTGCTTCGGGCTGTCAGGTTCGGTGAGTGGTCCTGCTGCTGTTCGGTCCTGCTGTTCCTTTCAACTGCATGTTCCCTCCTTTCCCCCGTTACCCCCCCGTTCCCCATTATCCCGCCATTCTCCCTTTATCGCTCCCTCCCCCCTGTATCCCCCCATCCTGCCGCTGTGCGGTCCTGCTGTTCCTTTCAGCTGCCCGATTCGGCTTCTCATTGGACGAGGAGTTGCGGGCAGCTGCAGCTTCGGAGGAGGTTCGGACAGCGCTAGGAAACAAAGTCAGCAAAGAGAGGATCGGAAAAGAGGTGCGTGTAAGAGAGAGGTACGGGATAAAGGTATGGGATAGAGGTATGGGATAGAGGTATGGAGTACAGTACGGGATAGATGCACGAAGTTTCCACTGGGTGCATTTGGGATTACTCAATCGACAGAAGTATTTTTTTTGGTGCCCGAAAATGCGCCTCTTTTTTAGGCACCACTAAAGTCGTCTCACTGGGCGCATTTGAGAATGCTCAATCAACACAAATTTGTACCAATGGCCTCACTCAGTCACTTAGCCATGATTTGTCTGTCCCCTTACACCCGTTTTCCCTTTCCTCCTATTCTTCTCTTCCCACCCCTCACAGGTAGAGGTGATGCTCAAGTCCCGTGACCCCTATGCAGCTATCTCCCTCGTGGTCGACCTGAACCTCTTCCCCACCGTCTTCCCATGCCCGCTCTCCGCGTGCTGCTTCAACTGCCTCCTTACGCCTGTTTTCCCCTTTCTGTCTTTCCTTCCGCCCCTCACAGGTAGAGCTGATGCTCAAGTCCCGCGATCCCTACGCGGCGATCTCCCTTGTGGTAGACCTCAACCTCTTCCCCCACCGTCTTCCCGCTCCTTCTCCTCTTTCCATCCTCCCCTCTCCTGCAGGTGGAGCTGATGCTGAAATCACGCGATCCCTACGCAGCTATATCTTTGGTGGTCGACCTCAACCTCTTCCCCACCGTCTTCCCGCTCCCCCACGCCCCCTCGCACACTGCTGATGTGCCCCCTGACGACGAGTTACCTGGGTGAGTAACGTGGTAACCAGAGACAGTAACATGTGGCTTGTGCTTCAAACATGTCCCAATTCCCCTTACTCCCTCATGCCGTTTCCCCCGCTCCCTCTCCCCTTTCTACCCCCCCACCCTTTCCCCCTCTCCCCTTTCTACCCCCCCACCCTTTCCCCCTCTCCCCTTTCTATCCGCCCCCCCTCCCCTTTCCCCCCTCCCCTCATTTTTCACTTCCCTTGCAAGTCCACTTTTCTATTTTCTCTAGAGCTTCTCTCCCAAACGCTGTCATTCCACACCATGTATCGTCCATTGCACTCACTCCCTGTATCGTCCATTGCACTTACTCCCTGTATCGTCCATTGCACTCACTCCCTGTATCGTCCGTTGTACTCACTCCCTTGTGTGTGTGTGTGTGTGTGGGGGGGGGGGGGGGGGGGGGGGGAGGGGGGGGGGGGAGTCCCACATGCATCAGCCTCTGTGAAGCTTCATTTGCAGCCACTTGCACACGCCTGCACCAATGGGAGAAACACCTGCCCCAGGTAATGTTCACCCTAAACCGTCCTCCAAATATAACCTCCCCCAGCTACAGCCTGTCTTCAGATGCAGCCTGTCCCCAGATGCAGCCTGCAACCCATTCACGAACCACACAGAAAGCACCATGCTTTTGTATTGAGATGTCTCAAAACAAATCTTCACACACACGGCACCATGCTTTTGTATTGAGATGTCTCAAAACAAATCTTCACACACACGGCACCATGCTTTTGTATTGCTTGATCTGTGGCCCTTGACTCACTCCCTCTGCTGTTCTGCATGTTTGCCACGTGGCAGGCTCTGATTGATCACTTGTCGGACCTTAGTGTGGGGCTGCTGCTGGCGGCGCTGCTGATGCCTCTCAGGCACGCCCACTACCTGGATAAGAAGAAGAAAGAGGTGAGAGAGTGGTAGAGAGGGGTGGAGAGGGGTAACAAGGGGTGAAGATGGGGTGGTGAGCGGTTGCGATGGGTGAAGAAGGGTGCTGGCGGCGCTGCTGATGTTTCTGAGGCACACGCACTACCTGGATAAGAAGAAGAAAGAGGCGAGGAAAGGGTGGAGAGCGGTGGAGAGTGGTGAAGAGAGGTGCTGGCGGTGCTGCTGATTCTTCCGGCATGCGAATTACCTGGATAGGAAGAAGAAAGAGGTGAGAGGGGTGGCGAGGGGTGGAGAGGGGTAAAGCTGGGTTGTGAGAGGGATGAAAGGGGTTGCTGGCAGCACTGCTGATTCCTTACAGGCACGTGCACTACCTGGATAGGAAGAAGAAAGAGCTAAGAGAGGTGGAGAGTGGCAACGAGGTGTGGAGAGGTGGTGAGAGGAGAGGGATGAAGAGGAGTGCTGCTGTTCTGACTGATGCCTCTCCAGCACGTGCACTACCTGGATACCGAGATGACAGAGGTGAGAGACAAGTGCTGGTGATGGGCGGCCACCAGTGCTGGTGACGGGCGGCCACCAGTGCTGGTGACGGGCGGCCACCAGTGCTGGTGACGGGCGGCCACCAGTGCTGGTGACGGGCGGCCACCGCTGCTCCTGTGGTTCTGACTGATGCCTCTTAGGCGCAACCATCACCTGGATAGGAAGCAGACAGATAGAGGACCTCTCAAACCCGCAAACCCGCAAACCCTCAAACCCTCAAACCCTCAAACCCTCAAACCCGCAAACCCTCAAACCCTCAAACCCTCAAACCCTCAAACCCTCAAACCCTCAAACCCTCAAACCCGCAAACCCTCAAACCCTCAAACCCTCAAACCCTCAAACCCTCAAACCCTCAAACCCTCAAACCCGCAAACCCTCAAACCCTCAAACCCTCAAACCCGCAAACCCTCAAACCCTCAAACCCTCAAACCCTCGAACCCACAAACCCTCAAACCCTCAAACCCTCTAACCCTCAAACCCTCAAACCCGCAAACCCTCAAACCCGCAAACCCTCAAACCCGCAAACCCTCAAACCCGCAAACCCTCAAACCCTCAAACCCTCAAACCCTCAAACCCTCAAACCCGCAAACCCTCAAACCCTCAAACCCACAAACCCTCAAACCCGCAAACCCTCAAACCCTCATCAGACGAGTTCTTTGGCGCCTCAGATTTGAGCCGTCTCTTTGTCTTTGCATGTACCTTTGCAGGTGCCCTTCGCGCAACACATCGCGCTGGACTCACTCAAGCTCAAGCAAGCCCCTGTCCCTGTCCCTCCACTTTCTTGAACCCCGGAATCTTAAACCCAAACCCCGAACCTCCCCATCCCCTCTCCATGTCTTGTCTCGCTGCAGGTGCCATTTGCACAACACATTGTTTTGGACTCACTCAAGCTCAAACGAGCATATGCTGACATGGCAGGTGGCCCCACCCTTTATGCTGATGTGGCATGTGCCCCCACACCCTCTATGTTGACATGCCTCTTGTTCAAATATTTCAATGCTACCTTCCCTCTTCACACAGCACTTAACCTTCTTTCACTCTTGATGATCCTCGAAGTTCCCTATGTCAAGTTCCCTATGTCAAGTTCCCTATGTCAAGTTCCCTATGTCAAGTTCCCTATGTCAAGTTCCCTATGTCAAGTTCCCTATGTCAAGTTCCCTATGTCAAGTTCCCTATGTCAAGTTCCCTATGTCAAGTTCCCTATGAGTTCCCTAAGTCAAGTTCCCTAAGTCAAGTTCCCTATGTCAAGTTCCCTATGTCAAGTTCCCTATGTCAAGTTCCCTATGTCAAGTTCCCCCTTTCGCCTTCTCTCTCCCTCCGCCTCCCTCCCTCCATCCTGCCGCCTGCAGGTGGTGCTGCTGCATGCAGCAGCGGAGGACTTCGCTGCCCTGGCGCCCCTGCTAGCCACAGGAGGAGCAGCAGGAGGGACACAAGACATTATCCTTATCCTCGTTACCTCTGCTCCTGACCGCTACTCCATGCTCCCTCACCCCCCCCTAACCCCCTCAGGTGGTGCTGCTGCATGCAGCAGCGGAGGACTTCACTGCCCTGGCGCCCCTGCTGGCCACAGCAGGGGCAGAGGGAGCAGGGGCAGCAGTAGGAGGAGTGGGTGATGAAGCTCGAGCTCTCACGCTGATCCAACCCCCACATGAGGAGTTCCGAGGCAACCCAAGAGTGCTGGCAGGTGCGCTGGGTGCTGGCAGGTGCAGTGCGGTTGTTGGCCACAGCAGGGGCAGAGGGAGCAGGAGCAGCAGTAGGAGGAGTGGGTAGCACGGCACGAGCTCTCGCGCTGATCTCACCCCCTTATTAGGAGTTCCGAGGCAACGCAAGGGTGCTGACAGGTGCGGTGCGGTTGGTGGGTCACTGGCAGGTAAGAAGGCACGAGGCCTTACTCTGATCGCACCCCGCATGAGGAGTTCCAAAGCAACGTAAGAGTGCTGGCAGGTGCAGCTGGTGGGGTGCTGGCAGGTAATGAACCACGAGCTCTCACGTGAATCCCACCCCCGGCATGAGGAGTTTCAAGGCCATGCAAGGGTGCTAACAGGTGCAGTTGGAGCTGGCAGTCGGTTTTTGAGTCGACTCAAAAACCGAGTTTCAAGGCCATGCAAGGGTGCTAACAGGTGCAGTTGGAGCTGGCAGTCGGTTTTTGAGTCGACTCAAAAACCGAGTTTCAAGGCCATGCAAGGGTGCTAACAGGTGCAGTTGGAGCTGGCAGTCGGTTTTTGAGTCGACTCAAAAACCGAGTTTAAGTCCATGCAAGGGTGCTAACAGGTGCAGTTGGAGCTGGCAGTGCAGTGCGGTTGGTGGGGTACTGCCTGGCAGGTGCGCTTCTTTCTGCGCTGCTCGTCTGCATTCCAACCCCCCATTCCAGAACCTTTTTGTCCTTTTCTTTTCTCCATCCCCCCTTCTTCCCTCACCATGCAAACTCCTCCGCAAGGTGAAGGGCTGCTGGCCGTCGGCTGTGCTGCTCGCCTCTATTCTGCCCCTCATCAAAAGCCCTTCTTCTCAAAACCTCCTTCCTAACCCCTCTTCCCCCAATCTCTCTTCCCTCACGCCCTTATTCAGGCAAGCTCCTCCGCAAGGTGAAGGGCTGCTGGCCGTCCGCTGTGCTGCTAGCGTCCACTCTGCCCCTTGCTCTGAAGCCCTTCTTCCCAAACCCCCCCTGCTGCCCCCCTTCACTCAAATCCACCTGTCCTTCGAAATCCCCTCTCCTCCCTCCCCAGGCAAGCTGCTCCGCAAGGTGAAGGGCTGCTGGCCATCCGCTGTGCTGCTGGCCTCGACTCTGCCGCCCGTTTCATCGGCCGCCCGCAGTGAACAGTGTGGGCGGGAGGGGGAGGGGGCAAAGGGGGAGAGAGGCGAGGGAGAGAGGGAAGAGGAGGATTGCAAGAGGAGGCGGATGGAGGGGAAGGAAGGGGGTGCAGGAGAGGATGTGGGGAGTGGAAGGAAGGGGTGTGAGCAGAGCGAGTTTTATCTGCAAGTTCTACAAGCGGTGCATGCCATGGGTATGTACTTGTATTGAGGTCACTATTGGGTGCAAGTATGTTGTGGTATGTGCTTGTGTTGAGGTCACTATTGGGTGCAAGCATGTTGTGGTATGTGCTTGTATTGGTGTGACTTTTGACTTGATTCTTATGTCACATATTGGTGAATGCCATGAGTTGCCGATGTTGGCATGGTATGTGTTTGTATTAGGACTCAGGCAAAAATGCTCGTGTTTATGTCTGCATGCATCTTTTGCCCCCCTCCTTCCCCCTCCCCACCCCCCTCTCTCCCTGTTTTCACGACCAGCACTATTCTGAGGCTTCTGCCGTATTCATAACCTCCCTTCCGGCCAGGCTTGGATGGCGTGTGGGGCACGAAGCCCATATTCAATGCACGGGATGACATTTTTGCTGACTTGACTGCTTTCAACCCCTTCCCCTACCAGGTTTGGATGGTGTGTGGGACACGAAGCCCATACTGAATGGCCGGGATGTGGTTGCTGCTCTGGAGCTCAAGAAAGGCGACCCACGTACCGGATACTGGGTACGTCAAGTGAACAAGTGTGTCAGAAGTTTGCCGATTGCACTTCCCAGTTGTGTAGTTCACATCTATTTTGACACATCCCAGGCCTTGGCACGTCCAGTTCTTATGCGTGGCTTTTGTTTATGCTTGTGTGCAGATGGATCGAGTGATGGAGTGGCAGTTAGCTAATCCAGATAATGGATCAACCGAGGAATGTACTGCTTGGTTGAAGACGCAGGCGCAAGTCCGTGAAGCGGGAAGTACCAAATGATATACAGATGGATGGAGGTTTATGAAAGCAAGCTGTTACGCATAGCTAGCTTGTGTACATGATCCAGGTAGTGTACTGTAATGAAAAGGTGATCTGCCATTTTACAAATCTGTTCAGCGACTTTGTGGAACTCCGCACGTGTTCAGCAGAAGGGTGTGCTGGCTGGATCTGGGAGTCTCTCACGTGGCTGCGTGACAGCACACGCGATTTCAGCTGCTTCGATTCGTTCAAGACGGTTCCTGGTTGTTTCAGCCCACCGATTGGGGGTGTCCGCCAGTAGGGGGCCCGATTGACCCGAATTCACACCTCAGCTTCGCACACCTGACCAATCGAGTAATTTGACTGACCCCATGCCACTTTCATATCCTGAGAATGCTAGGCAAGTCGTAGCTGACGTGTGCGAAGGGTCACCATGACCCGTCATGATATCACAATCTGACAACTGTATGCCACAGAGGATGCTGTTGGAGGGACAGCGATGACAAGCTCTGTTCTCATAGCCGTTCGATCTGTCGAAATAACCAATCGAAACCGCACGGTCCATGTCTGACAAGATGAAGATTTCGCTCGCTGGCGGGTGTATACCTTCGGCTTTCAGCAGCATTTCTTGAGATTGTTCCACTCCACACCATCTTCGTCCTCATCCTCATCATCCTCATTGTTATCGTGGTAATTTTGTTGTTGGCATTGTCAAATTCATTTTTTCACATCTTCATTTTCTGTTTTTCTCCTGTTTCGTGTTCAACCAGTAGTGTCGGCCGTGATTTCGCAGCATTCGTCTTGCATTTATCCAAGTTTCGTGCTCGCATTAGGGTAAAGTAATCTGCATTGCTATTTAAACATCCATCAGTCGCGGCTATCGTATTCTTAAACGTGTGAAGAACATTGTATCTGAGCCGGGCCCTCATTCCACCCGGCTTTCTCCTCTTTGTAAGCTCCAACGCAGGTCGAAGCCTGGTTATAACTGTGCTCTTTCTTTCGCACTGCTACCTTCACTCGTCCATCATATTCGTCTTGCATCCTCGTTTCTGATGTCCTTACATCGGCGGTTTCCATGATTTCGCAATTGGTTAGGCTGTCGGAAGCTGACAGACGACGCTCGTCGTCAGCACTTGACCGCTTCACGGTTCCACTATCCATTACCCTTTTTCGCCATTCCTTGAACACTGTGAAACCTGTTGTCCAACCCTCGAATGTCCCGAAACATCATGAATCCCGGAGGTCTACTTGTTAACAGTCTCGACAACTCATTGCACCATCTTCCACAGAGTTTACCAGCCAGGCGAAGATGACCCCCCTGACCCCCCTTTCCCTCTTAATCCCTCTTCCTCTTATTGACCGACTCGTTCAAGCTCTCCTGAATCCATGCTGGCCATCTTGCACAAGTCCATAAGCGATCACCGGAGGAGGCAATGACACCTGCAGCATTCCACGCTCCCCCCTCACTGACGCCATGGCTCCTTCTCCCCTGTTCATTCCACCAGTAGGTCGACCCAAAGCGCTTGCAGCCATGTTGGCCATCTTCCAGAAGTCGATAGGCGAGGCGCCACAGGAGCTGATGGCGCCGAAGCTGAACCGATCGGCGTCCATGTCGGGCCGGCTCGACGCGAAGGAGATCCTTCACGGCTTCAAGAAGGCGCACCCGGGCGCCGTGCTTATGCAGTTTGACGAGCAACACGCTATCGCGTACACGCACGACATGCAAGACTTTCTCATGCCCAGGTGGGTCGCAGCCTTCAGATGTTTCGTCATTCTCGGTGCATCCGTGCTTCTGGTCGTTGCGTGAGCTGTCATGGCTCTAAGCTTGAGCTGAAACATACCTTTATTCTCGTTTTGTATAGTTTACTTCGTCAAAGAAACTCCTTCACGACATTCTACCCTAACCTCTTCCGCCGTTTCCAGCACCTGGGAACTTTCCGCGTACGATGCCATCTCCTCCACCTCCGGAGTCAACTTCCAAGGGCCTCGCGCAGTTCGGGCACCTGCACTCTTTGTACTTGCTCCTCGCGGTGTTCCTTGTCCCTCTTCCGAGAGGCCCGGCTTGAACCTTAACTCGTTCATCCATGTTCTCCCGGTCAAATGTAGAACTTCGGGTGCAGCGTCGGCAGCGGTGCTGCCTGGGCCGGCATGCCAGCATGGCCAACCCTCCCGCATTCTTTCCCTCTACTCTTTCCGCTCCCTCCGCTCCCCCCGTTTTAACAGGCAATTTGCAGCATGCGACGATGTCTTCTGCGCGTTCGCCGGCAACATCGAGAACCTCGCGCAGCTGCGACAGCGGTACGGGCTGGACCGGCACGTGAGCGAGGTGAATCTGATCATCGAGGCGTACAAGACGCTGCGCGACCGCCGTCCGTACCCGCCGGACCAAGTCATCGCGGACCTCGCAGGCGCGTTCGCGTTCGTTCTGTACGACAACAAGGCCAAGACGGTGTTCGTGGCGCATGTGAGTTGGTGGAGGGGATAAGGGCGTATGAAACAGGACATTCTGGGAATGGGGAGCGATGTATGGTAGGGAGGAACGCAGCGTTCGCGTTTGTGCTGTACGGCAACAAGGCGAAGACGGTGTTCGTGGCGCATGTGAGTTGATTGAGTGGAAGTTGGTGTAGATGGCAATGCTAGCGATTTGGCATTGTTTGGTTAGGGTTATGGATAACCGGTCAGAGTTAGGGTTGCTTTGTGAGGCTCTTGTAGACATCGTTTAGTTGTGACCCGTTGAGCTAGTCAGAGAGAGAATCTGAAGAACAGAAGAACGAGGCAGGGTACAGTAGCGAAGATGACAGATGATGAGTCAGGAGGAATTAAGAGCCAGGGCGGGTGTCCAAACTGAAGTCCGAGGATTCAAATTCACAGATGATGATCCAGAGGGGGATGAAGAGGAGACGAGGAGACGGGAATGGTGCTCTTTGTCAGAGGGCGCTTGCTTGCTAGATTCTACGCGTTGTATTCCGCTACCTTCCGCTCCGCCCCTCCCCCATCCCTACATCCACCATGCCGATGCTTCCCATTGTCACCACAAATACCCGAAAGGAAAGGTGCCCTTGTACTGGGGCAAGTGTTTGGATGACTGTTTGCTCGCGTTCCCATTCTCGCCTTCGCTTCCCTCCCCTCCCCCCTACACGTACCCCCACTGCCCCCACCAGGACGCGCAAGGCAAGGTGCCCTTGTACTGGGGCAAGTGCCTGGACGACGGAGTGCTCGCCTTCTCCGACGACCCTGCTGTGCTCAAAGCCGGCACCGGCTCCTCCTTCGCCCCCTTCCCTCTCGGTACGTCTCCTTCTCCTTCTTTGTTCTCAGTATGCGCCTGCCCCCCCGCCCCCCTTCCGCTTGGTACGTCCTTACCACTTCCCCCCCCATCGCGTTCGCGGACGACCCTGCTGCCCTCAAGCCTCGAACTGGTTCCTCCTTCACCCCCTTCCCTCTCGGTATGCGCTTTGCCCCCATCACGCATCCCATCCACACATCTCTTCACACATCCCATCACACACCCCATCCCACATCCCTTCAAATTCCATCCCACATCCCATCCCACATGCCATGGCACATCCGTTCACACACCCCATCACACACCCCATCACGCACCCCATCACACACCCCATCACGCACCCCATCACACACCCTATCACACACCCCATCACACACCCCATCACACACCCCATCACACACCCCATCACACACCCCGTCACACACCCCATCACGCACCCCATCACACACCCCATCACACACCCCATCACGCACCCCATCACACACCCCATCACACACCCCGTCACACATCCCATCACACATCCCATCACACATCCCTTCCCACCCTGAGAAGCAGCTCAAGGCCATTCAGCACGCGGACAGCCAACTTACCCCCACTTTTCTCCCTGTCACCCCTTGGCAACCCTTGTCAACCTTTGTCACCCAGCCCCACCCTTCGTCACCGCATCCCACCCACACAGGCTGCTTCTAATTCTCGGACGGTGGGCTCCGCATTTTCACGGACCCCAAGAAGCAGCTCAAGGCCATTCAGCACATTACCTGCCAACTTACCACCGCTTCATTTCCTGTCACCCCTTGTCACCCCTTCTCACTTATCCCCACTCATGCAGGCTGCTTCTACTCTTCTGACGGTGGCCTCCGCAGCTTCACAGACCCGGAGAAGCAGCTCAAGGCCATTCAGCACATTGACAGCCAGGGGGAGCTGTGTGGTGCCACCTTCAAGGTCGACAGCCAGCAGGATCTGACTCAGATGCCTCTAGACTCCAAGGACGACAGTGGACGGGGCTGGTCGTAAATGTGTTGGAAGTAAGAAAAATTTTATCAGCGGGGAGCGGAGGTTAGGGTGGAGGATGGTTGTTCTGCTACAGTGGTGCTCGTTACACCTACGGGGTGTCGACTATACAGCACTAAGGGGAGTTGTGCTGCTGCTGCTGCAGCTTGTTACGGAACGCCGTTTGAGAAACACAATTGTTCTCTACATGGAATAGTGTGCAATACTAGTGTAATGGAGGCCATGGGGCAGGACGGGATGCTGTTAGAGGCTCGTTCGTTTGATTTCATTGCAATGGATGATGCCTAATTTGTTTCCAGTACATTATTGTCCCTCACTCCAGCTTAGGGAGTGGGTAGGCAGGTGTTTGTTCTGCTATACAGATGCGCATTACACTAACAGGCATACAATAGCTGCTGCTGAATGATAAGATAGTACAGGGTGACAGTAGAGCGCTGACGAGTGAAACTGTCCCGCTGCAGCTTGTTTGCTCTGGTCAATAAACACAGATGTCACCTACAGGTGCAGCATTTGATAGTGGTTTAGCGGCGACGGTGTAGGGTGAGGAAAGTAGAACGAGAATGAATGACTAAGGAATGGAAGTGATACAAATATGCAACCCTAGAAATGTGTATCCCATATAGGCTACCCCACTATAGCCTACACAATATTATAATTTGACACACCCCCATAGGCAAAGTGGGGGAGAACAAGGGGTCACAAGACCAGTCAAGCAAAGCAGACAAAGCTCAGGGTGGATCACAACGTCAACACACAGTCCGAGCACAAGGTCAAGGCCACAAGGCCAGTTCACATGCAAGAGTACACACACACATATATATATATATATATATATATATATATATATATAAGGCTAAACAAGCAAGAGCAGGTATATATATATGTAAGAGTACAAGCAAGGTCAAGGGGTGAGCAAGTGAGGCAAGACAGGCACAAGACCCAGCTGAGTGCAGAAGCGCTGATGATCACAAGGCGAAAGTGCCTTGGTGAAAACATCAGCAGTGTTGGCCTCAGAGGCCACGTACGCAAGTCGCAACTGACCACGCTGCTGCAACTCACGAGCAAGAAAGTAGCGGAGAGCAATGTGCTTCGTTCTGTGCTCCAGGCGCTGCTCCCGACACAAGGCCAGCATGGCCTTGTTGTCTACGTACAGCACTGGAGGAGAACGAGGCGGCTCTCCGAGGTCAGTCAGCAGGTAGGTGAGCCAGCGAAGCTCCTGTGCAGCCATGGCCCCGGCGTAGATCTCAGCCTCACAACTGGAGCCGAGAACAGAAGACGAGCGAGTAGCCCGCCACGAAATAGAGCCGGAACCAAGACTGAAGGTGTAACCCTGTGACGACCGCTGCGTAGCCTGGTCGTCAGCCCAAGAAGCGTCCGCGTGCCCAGTGAGGACCACTGGACTGCGCCCTCCAAGCACTAGCCCCATGCCCGACGTACTGCACAAGTAGCGCAACACCCTCTTCGCTGCAGCCATGTGCTCTGGTCTGTGTCTCCCAGGAGCAACATAGCGTGCAAGAATGCTAAGAGGGTATGCAAGGTCAGGTCGTGTGCAGGTCATCAGGTACATGAGGCAGCCAACAAGCTCTGGGTACGGGCCACTCGACTCTACGGACTCATCCGAAGGCAGAGCTGAGAGCGAGTGGCGAGTAGACAGAGGAGTGGCCTGAGGCGAGGAGTACGTGAAGCCGAAGCGCTGAAGGACCTGATGCACCATGTGTGACTTAGTCAAAGTAATGGTGCAGCGTGCTCTGTCCCGGGTGATCTGCAAGCCAAGGTAGCTGCGCACTTCATCCAGGTCTGTGCACGTGTGTCTCTTCTGCAGCTCGGACTTCACGTGGCCGAGTCCAGCAGTGTCAGCTGTGGCAAAGACCAAGTCGTCGACGTACCCGATGATGTAGAACGGCGGCAGAGAGGTGTCGGTGCGCAGAAACAACGACGGGTCAGCAGTAGAGGGAGCAAACCCAAGAGCCGCAAGCGTAGTCCTCAGTGTGTCGTGCCACTCACGCGGTGCCTGGCGGAGACCGTAGACTGGCCGTCGGAGGCTCCACTGGGTGCCAGGAGGGAAAGTCCCAGTGAAGCCAGGTGGACGGCGCAGCCAGATCTCCTCGTGCAGGCTACCCTGCAGGAAAGCAGTGCTGAAGTCAAGGGAGTGAAGCTCGTAGTCACGCTGAGCGGCTATGTGTAGCAGCACCCGAAGAGTGGTCATCTTCGGGGTGGGAGAGAAGGTCTGAAAGTAGTCAACTCCCTGCCGCTGACTGAAGCCACGAGCCACGTACCGCGCCTTGAAGACAGGTGGAGAGCCCGGCGGCCGCTTCACCCTGAAGATCCACATGCCACTGACGATGTTCGCCCCAGGAGGAGGAACCGCGTCAACGTAGGTGCCTGTGGACTTCCAGGAAGCCATCTCTGCATCCATAGCTGCCTACCACTGAGAGGAGTAGGGACCCTCTACGGCCTCCGCGTAAGAGCGCGGAGTCGGGATGTCTAGTGCATCCGGGTCTCCCTCAGGGGTAAGCAGTACGGACGCGAGATGAGGTGAAGCAGCAGCCAGACACTGGAACTCCTCCTGCCTGTCCTCAAGGACGTCCGTGCCAAGAGCACACTCACCCCCGACGGACGGAGGACAGACAGACGCAGACTCAGCAACAAGACTAGCAGCGTAGTCTAGACGACAGTGAGCAGCAAAGTCGACGAGCTCAGCAACAAGAGCAGACGCAGCAGTGGACTCAAAAGAGGGGTGAGTGACGACATTAGCAAGGAGACGCGTGACGGTAGGACTGGCAGCACGAAGAGAGTCCGACTCCGGGTCGGCAAGGGCAGGAAGAGAGGACTCAGGAGGAGAAGGCAAAGGGACACGCAGAGGAGCAGTGGACGGACGCAGAGACATCCGGTGCGTGCCAGGGACAGGAGGAGGACGCTGACACGAACCGCGACCACTAACGCGAGCAGCACGAACAGGCGACGCGGGACGAGACGCAGGCTCACGACGCTCAGCATGACCTCCGGTAGGACCAGTGTAATGAGAGGGAGCAGGCAGTGGGAAGGCGGGCGGTAACTTTGACTGTGACTGGACAGGCGGTGGACACTCTACAGGAGGAGAAGGACCAAGAACCTGCTGAAGGAGCGGAACGAAGTACCGCCGAGGCCGCGCGGCGACTCCAGACACAGCAGGGACAGCACCAGCACCCTTAGCGGCAGCACCAGCGCCAACAGCACCTCCAGCTACAGGACCTCCAGTAGTACCAACAGCACCCGCAGCAGGACCACCGCCAGGACTGACAGCAGTAGCCTCAGCGCCAACACCCTCAGCAGCTCCAGCTCTAGTCGTACCCGCAGGCCCAGCAGCTCCAGCACTCCCAGGACGAGCACCTCCGGGACCGGCGGCACCAGCACCCTCAGCGGCCGAAGAAGCTCCAGCTCCAGCAGTACGCCTCCAGCGCCGGGCAAACCACTCGCGCAGCTCCTGTGGAGAGAGTGGCTCCCGCCGAGACGAAGCACCCGGAGAACCTCCAGGCCCAGCACCGCCAGACGCCACACGAGCAGGTCGAGCGGCCGCTGGCTCCGCACCACCAGGCTCAGTAGCTCCAGACGCAGCACCCCCAGGCTCAGCAGCTCCTGACGTAGCACCCCCACGCTCAGCACCCCCAGTCGTAGCACCCCCGGGCTCAGCACCCCCAGTCGCAGTACCCCCAGGCTCAGCAACCCCAGTCGTAGCACCCCCAGGCTCAGCACCCCCAGTTGCAGCACCCCCAGACTCAGCACCCTCAGGCTCAGCACCCACGCGCGCAGCACCCCCAGAGTCAGCACCCCCAGGCTCAGCACCCGCAGCAGTACCAGAGTCACCAGCAAGCTCGACCGGCTCGACTGCGTCTACCTGGGACACACCTGAAGGGGCAGGACCCTGAGGGGGGAGGGGGTCTACCGGGGGGGGGACCTGGTACAAGGAAGTGCGGTGGCGGGGGGAGGGAAGGAGTGCGGTAGGGGAAGAGGCAGTAGTAGGGGACTGACTCGTCGAACGTGACGTCCTGGGAGGACAGAACACGACGAGAGGTGGGGTGGTAGAACTGCCACCCAGGGGCGTCAGGGGGGAAGCCAAGGAAGACACAGGGAGCAGCACGAGGGGACAGCTTGTCCGCAGACAAGTCGCGGACAAACGCCCGAGATCCCGAAACACGGAACGCAGACGCATCGCCGACCTTCCCCGTCCACAGCAAGGCTGGGGAGGTCTCCGGCCTGGAGACCCAGGGGTGAAGGTTGATCTGATGCGCCGCGTACCCAACCGCAAACGGCCACAGAAAATGGGGGGCCGGCCGCATGCATCATGGACGTACGAGCGACGTCCATGACCATGCCAATGCGGCGCTCAGCAATCCCATTTTGCTGTGGAGAGTCCGGAAGCGTAAAGGTCTGGCGGATGCCTCACGCACGATAGTAGGCTCGCAGAAGGCCAGAGGAGAACTCTCCGCCTCGGTCTGAGTGCAGACGCAGAACAGGAAAGTCCAAGCCGAAGCTCCTCCTGAGCTGGAGACGAGCTGCGCGGATCCAGTCGATCAACACCTCAGTGACATCACCCTTGCCGCGCAAGGGGAAGACTGTGGTGTAACGCGAGTAGTCGTCAACCACCAGCAGGAAGTAGCGCTCGTGACCCTGTCCACGGACGCGGGCCGGGCCCCACACGTCCATGTGAAGCATCTGCAGCGGGGCTTCTGTCGGGGGAAACTGAGAGGGGTGAGGGGCAGCCCGGAGCCGCCCCTCGACACAGGGGACACAGGAAGGACCAGGCCCCAGAGGAAGGGGAGGGAGGGACCGGGGAAGACCAGAGACAAGGACACGGGAAGCCATGCCTCGGAGACGAGGTAGGGAGGGGTGACCAAGACGGTGGTGCCAGAGGAGAGTCTCGTGAGACAGGAGGCGACACGAGCAGGGGGCAGACTCAGGACCAGACTTGGACGCTGCAGCAAACACCTGACCCGACGCAGCTACCTGTCCAGAAGCAGAGACAGTAGGGGACCCAGTGGTCAGGGTGAAGAGGCTCGACCCCGGCCGACGCGAAAACGTGGCCAGGTGTCGGCCCGTACGTGTGTCCGAGCAGTGGGTCACCCGCTGACTCGCAGGAGTAAACTGGTGAACCCCCGCATCCTGCAGGTCAGCACCACTCACCAAGTTCGTCGAGAAAGAGGGGAGGTAAAGACCAGACAAGGTGCCAGAGGGGGCAGCCGGACACGGGAGGACAGTAGAGAAGTGAGAGAGGACAAGACCCCCAGAGGGGTCTACCAGGGAGACTGCAACCGGCCGACCAAGCGGCGTGAGTGTGGTGCGGTCTCGAAAGAAGGAGCGAGAAGCCCCCGAGTCAAGTGTGAAGGTGAGGGAGGCCGAAGCCGACGCGGTACCTGAGAGCGCAGCCTCACTAGTACCTGAGGGCGCAGACGCGCTGGCACCTAGAGCAGCAGCCTCAGTAGCACCTAGCGCAGCAGTACCAATGCCCGGGTCGGGCGGGAAACACCGGTAACAGTCACCCTCATCACTAATAGTCACAGCATACATGGCAGCAAGGATAGCATCAAAGTCAAGATCATAGATAGCGACATCTGCCCTAGACAGCTCTCCCCAGCGGGGGATCTCACTAGCCTCCGGGAACTGCTGACGCCAAGCGTCCGTCAGGTGGCCAAAGCAGCGCTGGGTGGGGTGGCCACCCCCGCACTGCTCACCCGCGCGGTCGCAGGAGCAAAGGACGTAGGTGCACGGGCCAAAACCCCCACCACTTTTTTTTTTTTTTTAGAACGAGAATGAATGACAAAGGAATGGAAGTGATACAAATATGCAACCCTAGAAATGTGTACCCCATATAGGCTACCCCGCTATAGCCTACACAATATTATAATTTGACATAGGGAATGCCGAGGCTTGCTATATGATACTGAGAATGCAAAGAATGTTACAGCCAGGTAAATACGGTACGGTACCTGAGTTGTCACGGTACCAATACCATTTTCTTGATTCCAGACCTTCCAAAGATTGAATCACTTGCTTGGCAAGTAAGGTGGTACACCTGGAAATAGACTTTGGTGCAGGGGTAAATAATTATTATTATAATGACAAACGAAATTGCCACACTAATCCGTCTAGCCCCCGATATAAGCGCATATGCGCTTATAATAAAATCAGTTTTTTTAGGGGTGGCGCTTGTAATCGAGTAACGGCCATAAGCGCCGGTGCTTATACGATGTCAAAAATGAATTCTGTTTTTAAGGGTACGAAATTGAAGCCCTCAATATGGAGAACAAGGCCATGTGATGTGCGCATGGGATCGTGCATGAAATTCCGGAACGAAAAACAGCCGCGACTCGATTTCCCACCGCACAAACCCTGTCCCGGAGCAACGCACCTGGCAGCGATGACGAGCTCCCCGACGCTGAGGAGGACTGTCACGAGGAGGGCGGCGATGGCGCCGAGGGTGGCACAGAGGTTGGCACCGAGGCCGGCACCACTGAGGATGTGTTACCCGAGGGTGCGCCGGGCGCCGACGAGGACGACGGTGTTGAGTACTGGTCACGCGACGGGTTCCCTGAGAAGTTGCCGATACCTACCTACCCTCCTACTAATTGCAAGTGACCCCACCTTTCTACACGGAACCGTGATGCCCGCCCCCCCTCTCCCAGGCATAAGCTCAACGATCACAAGCGTCAGGCCTATACCGCCGCCGAGAAACTCAAGTACGTCGCGCTGCTGCAGGTCGCGGTTTCGGTGCGTGCTTTGGCCCGCGAGAGCGGCATACACCGCAAGTGCCTCACCAACTGGAAGCGCTCTGCGGATTTCCTGAAGGAAGCTCACTCCGCGCGGAAGCGGATGCACGGTCGCGGGAGATCGTCGTGGTACCGACCGATGGAGATGAAGGTGTACGAGCGTCTCCTCGAGTGGCGCCCCAAAGGAACTGCCGTGTCAATCGGCGGCCTGCAGGAGTGGTCCAAGGAGTTTATGAAGGAGCTCTACCCTCAAGAGAAGTGGAAGGGCAGTCAAAGGTGGTCGGAACGGTTTCGGAAGCGCTGGAATCTAAGCGTCCGCATGAAGACAAGGGTTGCACAGAAAACCGCCGCTCGTAAGCCCTCGATTTCATAGTCCTATGTAATCAACCCATGTGATGTACTCATTGCACCCGAGTGTATCGCCCTGTCTCCCACCGTATCGCAAATGTCGCGGAGCAGTGTAGGAACTTTTGGCAGTTCATCCGAGACAAGCGACGCGAGCGCGGCATCGAGACCACGTGGATCATCAACGCCGACAAGACGCCTCTGTGGCAGGAGATGCCCGCCACCACGACCGTTGAGCAAGCTGGCCTTCGCTCGGTGCCCATCAGGAGTGCTGGGTACCAGAAGGAGCGTGTGACCGTGATGCTGGCATGCACAGCGGACAGCGCCAAGCTTAAGCCGTGGGTTTTTTTCAAGAGGAAGACGCTGCCGAAGGGCGACTTTCCGCCTGGTAAGTGAGGTTCTTGGACGTGCGTCGCACATGTTTAATGCTTTTTTTTCACTAATTTTTTGTTTCAATACCTGATTGTGCAGACGTGGTCGTGGCGTGCCACGAGAACGGGTGGATGGACGCCGCGGGCGTTATCCGCTGGCTCGAAGAATGTGTCAAGCCGTTCTTGAAGCTGTCTTTCGGTCGGCACTCCAGGAGCTCCATGGTGGTTCTGGATTCCTAGCGCGGGCACCTCACTAAGGGTGTCAAGGAGAAGTTTCGCGAGATGAACTGCGTGCCGGCGATCATCCCGTCGGGGCGTACAGGTGAGCTTCAACCCCTTGATGTCTCCGTCAACAAGAGTTTCAAGGCCTCCTTCCGTCAGCAGTACCAGAAGTGGTTCGAAGCGGAGGGGCAGGTACAGCTGACTGCAGCAGGTACGGTGAGACCGTGGCTTCTAGGTACAGCATGCACGTTGCTATAAACCCCCCTTGGTTGCCCTAATCACCGTCGTTTCTTTGTGATTTTGCAGGCAATCTCAAGAAGCCGTGGTTCTGAGGTGGATCTCGCGGGCCTGGAAGGTAGTGCTCGCCGACCTCATCAGGCGCGCCTTCCTCACATGTGGCATCAGCAACGCCCTTGACGGCAGCGAGGACAACCTCGTCGTGGCGCACACGCGGACGTAGCTGACCGCGGAAGTCGATGTCGACGACGGCATCATCGCCGATGGCTTCTTTGGCAACAACTGCCAGGAGCCCGAGTCTAACGAGGAGAAGATGCTTCCTTGGTGGATAGGCCTTAGTAAACGCCTTTTAAAGCCCAAGTACAGCATCGTAATTTTCAAGTTCAAGATTCTTGAACTTGAAGTCGCCAATAATAGGGTTACCCTACTTGTTTTGAGAAAATTCTCGCGACCCCAGGCAATCGTCCTGCGACAACGGAACCCGAGTGCCCAAAACCAGAACTGACGCGATGATCGCCAACCATTTGTACTATTCACCACTCTCATAACTTGCTTACCAAGTAGTACTCCTAGGCTAGGAGGCTCCAAGGCAAAAACTAGCGCTAGTTGGCAAAAGCGAGTCGTTGATAGGTGTTTTTTTTGTGTGGAAGGAAATATAAGTCCACCTCAACCATCTTAGTCAGTGTACGCTCTAATCTCTCCCTCACGTCACCGGTCTCGTGTTACAACCCGTACACCCACGGCACTTACGTCAGTAAACGCGATTCGCGTTACTCGAGTCTTGCATTCAAGCTCGTGTCGCAGACGCAAGATCTTGTCACACTTGCTGCCATTCAGCCTCGTGTCACGATCGTACCATTTTAGGCACGGGTCGCTCACGCGAATGCCGTACTGGTTCGCGTAACGCACTCAGCCGTTAGTCGCACATGTTCCTCCTCGTCGGCCGCTCTTGCCCACGTCAGACCGCTTTCCTCGTCGCCCGCGCTTTCCCTCATTACCCTCCCCGACCCTCTGGTCGCATATGTTCCCGTAGTTGCCCATGCTCTCCCACGTTAACCACACATCCCCTCGTCGCAATTGCTAGTAGTAAACATACCGCGCTTCAGATCGTCACCCGCGCTCGCCTCATCACCCTCGTCGACCCACACCGATCCTCGCCGCCCTCACCTCCCTAGGTCTCCGACATTCCCTCTCGTCGCTCGCGCTTCCCCTCATCACCTGTGCCGACCCTCGCCGCCCTCGCCTCCCCTCGTCGCCCGCGCGTCCCGTCGTCGGGCTTGCCTCCCAGTCACTCGCGCTTCCCCTCGTCATCCGCGTTTCCATCCGCTCTTCCCCTCTCCCCATCTCACCATCTCCAGCCCATCCTTTCTCCCTCATTCCTTCCGAAGGGGTGGGACAGATGGGGAGGAACAGATGGGGAGGAACAGATGGGGAGAAACAGAGGTGGTCGCTTCCGCCACCACAATCGAACAGCGTTTTGATTCCCTCTCTGCTTCCCACCATCCTCCCCCCAGCTCTCTCCCTGGCATCTGCCCCCGTTCCCCCCATCCTCTTCCCTGTTTCCCCGTATCCCTTGCCGTGCTTCTCCCCATCCTATCCCCCCTTACCCCATATCCCTTGCCCTGCTTCCCCCCATCCCCTTCCCTGCTTCCCCTCATCCCCTTCCCTGCTTCCCCTCGTCCCCTCCCCTGCTTCCCTCCATCCCCTTCCTTGCTTTCCCCCATCCCCTGCCCTGCTTCCCCCCATCCCCCTCCCTGCTTCCCCCCATCCCCTTCCCTGCTTCCCCCCTTCCCCTTCCCTGCTTCCCCCCATCCCCCTCCCTGCTTCCCCCCATCCCCTCCCCTTCTTCCTCCCATCCCCTTCCCTGCTTCACCCCATCCCCTTCCCTGCTTCCCCCCATCCCCTTCCCCTGCTTCCCCCCATCCCCTTCCCTGCTTCCCCCCATCCCCTCCCCTGCTTCCCCCCATCCCCTTCCCTGCTTCACCCCATCCCCTTCCCTGCTTCCCCCCATCCCCTCCCCTGCTTCCCCCCATCCCCCTCCCTGTTTCCCCCCATCCCCTTCACTTCTTCCCCCCATCCCCTCCCCTGCTTCCTCCCATCCCCTTCCCTGCTTCACCCCATCCCCTTCCCTGCTTCCCCCCATCCCCTTCCCCTGCTTCCCCCCATCCCCTTCCCTGCTTCCCCCCATCCCCTTCCCTACTTCCCCTCATCCCCTTCCCTGCTTCCCCTCGTCCCCTCCCCTGCTTTCCCCCATCCCCTTCCCTGCTTTCCCCCATCCCCTGCCCTGCTTCCCCCCATCCCCCTCCCTGCTTCCCCCCATCCCCTTCCCTGCTTCCCCCCTTCCCTTTCCCTGCTTCACCCCATTCCCTCCCCTGCTTCCCCCCATCCCGTCCCGTGCTTCCCCCCATCCCCTTCCCTGCTTCCCCCCCATCCCCTTCCCTTCTTCCCCCCATCCCCTTCCCCTGCTTCCCCCCATCCCCTTCCCTGCTTCCCCCCTTCCCTTTCCCTGCTTCACCCCATCCCCTCCCCTGCTTCCCCCCATCCCGTCCTGTGCTTCCCCCCATCCCCTTCCCTGCTTCCCCCCATCCCCTTCCCTGCTTCCCCTCATCCCCTTCCCTGCTTCCCCTCGTCCCTTCCCCTGCCTCCCCCCATCCCCTTCCCTGCTTCCCCCCATCCCCTTCCCTCCTTCCCCCCCTGCTGCCTCCCATCACTCTCATTCTCCTTCCTCCCGCACTCACACCTCTCAGTCCTCTCGCACTCTCTCTCTCCGTCCTCTCGCACTTGCACTCTCCTCCCCACCACCCTCAGCCCTCCTTCCCCTCACACCCACCCATGTTCCCACCTGCCCTCCCCATCCCTGCCTTTCCCTCCCTGCCCTGCCCTTCCCTTCTCCATCCCTTCTCAAACCTTCCCTTTCATGTCATGCCCTCACCTTCCCCCTCATCTTCCGCCCTCTAGCTACCATGCATGTGCACCCATCACTGTCTCCCCATACCGGTACATGCTTTCATCATGTGCGCTTGCTTGTGTTCCCCTGCAGTTGTTCCCTTGGCACCTCACACCACTTCCCCCATGTTCCATCACACAATTCTTTCTGCCTACTCCACTCTCCAAATTTTCAGTGGTGAAGCAGAGGAGCAAGCTGAGGCGCAGCTAGAGCTAGTCCATGCTTTACGCCATACCACCACCTGTTTCTTGTGTGTTGTATGCAAGCATGATACTGTATTACTGTTGGAGATATCCATTTCAAAAGCGCAATATGTTTCTGCAGTGCAATATATTCTTCCAAGATGCATGGGCAAGAGTGTCAGAAGGGTAGATAGAGGCATGATTCTACTTTTGATTGTACCCTTCTCAAGGACTTGAAAAAAACATGAGGGATGGGATGATGGGCTTCGGCGAGTTGCAGTGCCAGAAAATCTTCATTGGTGTCACTTCACTACCCAGGGAGAGGGAGGGAATACGAGGGATGGGGAGGGGGAACAAGACTAAAGTCAAACAGGGGAGATAGGGAAGAGGGGGGAGAGGAAAGCAGGGCTGAGAGGGAAAGACATAAGTACCGTAAAAAAAGGGAGGATAGGGAAGAGGGGAGATAGGAAGAGGGGGAGAGGGAAAGTGTGAGATAGGAAGATGAAACGAGGTGAAGAAGAGGGGGAAACGAGGGGAAGTAGGGGGGGAAACGAGGGACAGCTGTGAGGGTGTGGGGGAGCCGGGGGAGTGGCACTGGGGTGGCGGGTGTGAGACCAACCAGCAGCTGTCCCTCCACCTCTCCTCTCTTTCCCCCTCTGCTGCTCCTGCAGCAATGTGGGGGGGAGGGGGAGGGGGAGGGTGAGGGGATGGAGGGGGTGACCAGCCAGAGCCAGTCCGCCTCCTCTCTCTCCCTGCTGCCCCTCCTGTGGTCGGGGGGGGAAGAGAGTAAGGGGGTGGCAGGAATGTCTTGCTGTCGCATGTCCCTTTGCTGCTGTACCTGCTCTGTTACCGTGCCTGCTGTTGCTGTTGCTGGTGTACCCCTGCAGGATTGTGTTTTGCACAAACTCCTGCTGCAGGCAGTTATGGGGGAGTGTTAGAATATATATGTAACTGCCTGTAGCTGTAGTTTAGTGTAGTTGTTATAAACTGTTGGTGGTGCACCTTCTTTGCATGCTCTGTTTGCTATATGTACCCTAGTGCTATAGTGAACACCATTCCCATTCTCGACTTCCTCCCTTGCCACAACTTTCTCGACTCCCCTTGGCCTAGGCTACTAAGCCTAGGCCCTACCTAAACCTAACTACCACTTGTGCTACTATCTCAACAACAGCAAGGGGGGAAACGAGGGGAAGCAGGGGGAGAAACAAGGGAAAGCAAGGGGGGAAACGAGGGGAAGCAGGGGGGGAAACCAGGGAAAGCAAGGGAGGGAAATGAGGGGCTAGCAGTGGGTAAGATGAGGGGAAGCGGGGGGGGGTGGGGGGAGGGAAATTAGGGGAAGCTGGGGGGGAAATAAGGGAAGCAGGAGGGTACAAACAGAGATAGCAGAGAAATGAGGTGAATCAGTGAGGGAAATGATGTGAAGCAGTGAGGGAAATGAGGTGAAGCAGTGAGGGAAATGAGGTGAAGCAAGGAGGGAAATGAGGTGAAGTAGTGAGGAAAATGAGGTGAAGCAGGGAGGGAAATGAGGTGAAGCAGGGAGGGAAATGAGGTGAAGCAGTGAGGGAAATGAGGTGAAGCAGGGAGGGAAATGAGGTGAAGCAGTGAGGGAAATGAGGTGAAGCAGGGAGGGAAATGAGGTGAAGCAGTGAGGGAAATGAGGTGAAGCAGGGAGGGAAATGCGGTGAAGCAGGGATGAGGGGGAGAAAGGGTGGGCCATGGGCGTAGAGCATAGGGCGCAGAGCATGGGGCGCAGAGCATAGGGCGCAGAGCATGGGGAACAGAGCATAGGGCGCAGAGCATGGGGCGCAAAGCATAGGGCGCAGAGCATGGGGCGTAGAGCATAGGGCGCAGAGCATGGGGCGTAGAGCATAGGGCGCAGAGCATGGGGCGCAGAGCATGGGGCGCAGAGCATGGGGCGCAGAGCATGGGGCGCAGAGCATGGGGCGCAGAGCATAGGGCGCCGAGCATTGGGCGCAGAGCATAGGGCGCAGAGCATGGGGCGCAGTGCATAGGGCGCCGAGCATAGGGCGCAGTGCATAGGGCGCAGAGAATAGGGCGCAGAGCGCAGGGCTCATAGAGCAGAGCGCAAGGGGCAGAACGCAGGGGGCGGAGGGGGCAGAGCGCAGAGTGCAGGGGCGCGGAGCACGTGTACCTGTCCTGGCGTGGTGGTGCCTCGTTCTAGCGCCCTGTCCACGCTGCTATTCGAATAGAATAGTGCGCGCGCTGGACGTTTGTGAGTTGACGCGCTGCTAGACGACCAGTGGCGCGAGCTGCGCGTAAACCGGTGAGGGGGATGGTCGTCTCTGTATTTCGCGCGCTGCTACCTGCCCGTGGGCGCCCGGTGGCTGACAGAGTAGAATAGCGTAACCCTAAGGGTATGCGTATTGTGGACGCCCCCAGCGTGGCATTGCCCTAAGTAATAGGCACTTTCGAGCGCAATATACGTTCGCAATGCCCCGAAACCGTCGTCCTACGTGCTGCCAGAGGCAATCGATGTGCCAGAGGCCATATCGCGCCGTGTCGCGCTCTTCTCAACGCTCCTTCCTGCGACTCAGCATGTACGTTTTTTGGCATGTCACCTTCGTTCGCACGTTTCCTTGTTGTTAGCTCCTGCGGTTATTTCACACGAAGTAGTTAGCTTGATTGATCGTGGTGTTCTTTCTCCTCACTCGTGTTGGTGCTTCCTGTTTTCGTTTTTGCTAGTAGTCGCATTGTGCGTGGACCTCTCCACTATTTGAACATGATTGGCCGAAGAACAATCCTTGCGACACTCCTAGTCGCTCCACAGTGCTTGCAAATCCGTCAAAGCTGCACAGTGTCGTTCACCATTGCTTCACGTTTGGCGAGACTCCTTTCCCCCTCGTCAATCGATATGTTTCTCGCTACACTGACTTTGCCGAAATTCTTGTTTTCAAGGTTTCGCCAATACTATTTCAAACTCACATAACTTGATAAATTACCATGCTGACTCCGGGTTTTAAATGAGCTAGAAGTAGGATGTTGTACGCTGTAAGGAAAATCCCTTTTCCTTACTTCGCATCCCTGCTCAACGCGTACATCACTGTAGCACCTAAGTCAGCACCGTTACCACTCGCGATCATCGCATCGACAATCATCCCGCCATTTTTCGCACATCACATCCCGACCTCACGGCTCGGCTGGTAACCCGCGCTCCGGGCCTACGCCTCGACACTTTCCCAACCTCAGTCCCAGGCTCGTCGCGCGACTACCACAGACCATTACCGTTACCACTGTAGTTTCGCTATATATTCTTCGCTCACGCCCTCGCTCATCGTATTCTTGCTTCGATAGTGCAATTCTCGTTCGTTCACTCAATTGCACTCGTAACATACGCAAAGTGCTAAACTTCTAATGGAAAGTGCATAAAGATGTTGCGGTAATTGTTGTAGTTAAAAATAAAAGGAAAAATGTTGAAGGTATGCGCCTGTAATAAGTACGGGTACAAAAGGGGTGCGCTTATAATCGAGGAACGGCCATAAGCGCCATGCTCCAGATAGAGGCGCCGGCGCCTTTAATCGGACGGCGCCTATATCCGGGGCCATACGGTACCATCACGAAAAATGGAGTTCAATGTTAGTGATGCAACTGCCTCACTGTACGAACAAACTAGGCCACGAAAATGGCAAGGGGAGCAGCACACTATGATGCGGGTTTCCTGCTGCTGTTTCCCTGCCACTCTCTGCAGCAGTAGATGCTGCAGCTCGTGCTGGTGTTCCTGTCTCTTCTGCTGTTACCACTTCAGTTACTGACATTCTTTCAAAGACACAAGCCTGGCCGAACCTCCTCGCCCTATGCTCTGATCTCCAACCAGATCGCCCCTAGCGGCCAGCTCCCTGGCCTGAGAAGCCCAAGGGTTCGACAAGGAAGGGGGTAGCAGAGTCACGTGCTTACTGCTGCTGCTGCTGAAGCTACTCCTGCTGATGCTGCTACCAATGCTGCGAGAGTGGTCGCTCGCTCCTTCCCAGAACTCTGCCTGACTGGCACTGCTCCCACTGTGCCTCCTGCGACTCTGCACCTTGCAGTCACTCCCCTGAGACCCGGAACCAGTCTTAACGCCACCACCAGGGGTGAAATCCGAACTCAGGACGCTCCTCCTCCTGCTCTTATCCAGAGCTGCATCCGATTTTTCAGCGTTGCTGCTGGCAGAACCTGAAATGCTCGTGCTGCCGATGACGTTGCCAGCGGCGAATTTACTCACACTGCTGCCATCACCGAGGGTGAAGCTACGGCGACGAGGGCTTTTCTTATGTGTGCCGGCATGTGCCTGGCGGGTGATAGTGCACGTGCTCGAGTCGAGACTGATGCTGCTCGTGTCGAGGCTATTGCTTTCATCTCTGGGTGATACGGGTGCACATGGATTGGAATTGCTGCCGCTGCCACTGCTGCTGCGGTTGCTGCTTCTGTCAATAGTCTCGCAGTGGCTGTGTGATCGTAAAATGCTGACACTGCCCCTGCGGTGCTGCTGCTTCTGCTGCTGCTGCTGCCGCTGCTGTTGAGTGCTATTTTCGTGCTCGTGCTGGTGCTGTTGCTGGTGCTGGCGCTCGTGATTCTGTGCTCTCAGCCCACTCCCTTCCAGCCCCAGTTGCTGCATGGCTGTGTTTTTTAGTCGACTCAAAAGAGATTTCGGAGTCGACTTGAAAAGCTGGCGCGGGTGCTTCTGTGCCGGTGCCACAATGCCACTCCCTTCCATTCCCAACTGTTGCATGGCTGCGGAAACTGCTGCATCAGCTGCTGTCCTGTGTTTCATTGCTTTCCAGTACAACTTTGCAAACTCATCGTCCGAGTCTTCTGCCTGCTCGCCCGAGTCAGAGTTTCTTCCTGAAACACCTGAGTGTGAGTCTTCTGCAAGGTCACTGAAATGCGAACCAGCCACTCGTGACACAGCCTGTGGTTGCGGCAAGGTGAAATCAGTGGTTGTCCTGCTGGCTTCAGCAGCAGCAGAAGCAGCAGCAGCCAAGGAAGGGATGACTAGGGAAGGTGTGATGTGGGTGATTCCAGCCCTTGGAGCATCGCCCGTGGTGGGCATGTGGGAGGAAGGGAAATCCATATCTGGATAAGGCGATGACTGAGAATACATGACGCCGGTGTGTGATGAACTCTCTAATGGGCTTGGAGTTGGGGATGGCCATGATATCATTCTGCGATGAGACCTATTAGTGAATGACTTGTTGCAGTCAGCAGTCCTTACTAGAGAGCGATTCATACCGTCACCGAGTGTAGCCTTGTTGATTTCGTTTGGAGCAAAGCCAGAAACTGCTGCTGACAAGGAGATGGAGCGTTGGTGGTGGTGCTCCTGACTAGTATGCTTTTGGACAGCAACGTTAGATTGATGAAGCGGTGAAATGGTTGAGTTGTGCACTGTAGATGCAGAGCCAGCAGCTGCAGTAGTCGAAGCTCGCACAAGCGAGGACGAGTCCTGATTGGTGTGTTTCTCCGCAGCGCCTCCCCCGCCGCCTCGGCGAGTGATGGTAGACGAAGGCAGCGACATGTCACAACTTCCGCCGCTGCGCCTGAGATTCGCCAAATTCCCTTCAACCGCCACTCTGCTTCTGCCACGTGTGCACGGAAAAAACTGGTTTGTCCGCCTCACCTTGCGCCTCCGAGCGCGCCTCTCGTTCCCCCCGGGCAAAGGGGGAACTATCAGAACCATCTCCGGATTTTGACCGCCAGTGAGTGCGCCCGCCACTTCTCTGCCCACCCTTTTCCAGGTCGCCTTTCCCCCCTTCGTGCGCAACCAGCTGCACTGTCCGCGACGATTCGCTGATGCCAGCGACGATTCGCCGGTTCCCATCTTCCGGGTCGCTTGTTCCCCCTTCGCGCGCAACCAGCTGCACTGCCCGCGACCGCGACGACTCGCTGATGCTGGTGGGGAAGCGGACAGATCGGGAAATAGTGCGCCGGAGATGCGCGACCCCCTCCGCTTCCGACTCTTCCTCCTGTTGGCTCCGCAAGTGGCGCAAAAGCTCCGCCACATCGCAGCTTCCGCCGCTGTGGCTCAGGCTGCTCGACCGACCCGCCAAGCTGCGTTTGACGGGTAAAGCTTGTGCTCCTTTAGACGACGGCGATGACGACAGAGGTACGCGATGAGCGACGGATTTTAAATGTTTGGAACTCGCGTGCGACGCAAGCGGCGGCGTCCTGTCCTCTGCGACGTGATCGCGGATCAACGGTGCGACATCTTGGCTAGCGCCACTGCGACGAAGCACGGTCCTGCCGCTGCCTGCGCCGCCGCCGCCAGCGCCGTTACTTCTTCCGCGGTTCGGCGAGTCCGAATCCCAGTCGTGACTCCTAGCAAAGTGAATAGCTCGGCTGCTTTCAGTAGCAGTAGCAGACGCGGTCAACTTGCGGTCATGTTCAGTCGCGGTAGCCTTGGGCGGAACCACAAAGCTGTGTGGAGAGACCTGCGGAGAGCCCTGGGGCCCACGCCTCGTGCACGCGTCGGTCGGACTGCGCGAATTCCGTGAATTGCAAGTCGGGAGTGGGCTTACGCAGCGAGAAGGTCCGGAGGTCCGCGTTACGCCTGACTGCGGCGCGCAGCGCTCAGCAGAATCCGAACCTTCGTTTCCGCGCAGAGTCGGTAGTGGACTTGTGCAGCGAGACCGCGCTACGCTCGAGTGTGGCGCGCAGCTTCCACCAGCAGAATTTGAATATTCGTTTCCGCGCAGAGTCGGCAGTGGGCTTGCAGAGCGAGAAGGTCCGGAGGGCCGCGGTCCGCGTGACTGCGGCGCGCAGCTCCCACCAGCAAAATCCAGCCCCTCGGTTCTGCGCGTTCCAGGGCTGTTACTAACATTGTGGCTATCATTCGTGGTAATATTTCTATTCCGCCGCGCGTCGCGCTCCTCTCGATCCATCTCGTCCTCCAGCATCTGCACCAGCCGCGCCATATCGCAGCTCCCGCCGCTCCCCCGCAGTGTTGCCCCACCAGCAGCAAGGCGGCGCTCCGACCGCTTCCCCGCGGCGGTGCCCGTGGCGGAAGCACAAACCTTTTGCGCGTCGCGCTCCTCGCGGTCCCTCTCCTCGCGATCCATCTCGTCCTCTAGCATCTGCACCACCCGCGCCATGTCGCAGCTCCCGGCGCTCCTCGCCAGGCGCGCCGACCGCTTCCCCGCGGCGGTGCCGGTAGCGGCAGCGCACCCCATCCGCGCACCGTCACGGTCCGCCCGCGCGGAGCGAGTTCCCGTCGGCGGGGAGTCCCATTCGCGCGCGTCCATCGACGAGACGAGTCGCCAGACGTCACAGCTGCCGCCAGAGCGCTGTAGTTGCACTCGCGCCGTCGGGGTTCTCTTCCCCGCAATTGCAGCAGCAGTTTCCCTAACTCTGAAAGGGCCGGCTTCGTTACTATCCATACTAATTCCAGTAGTAGCACTGCGCCGCGTTTCTCGTCGCGTCGCCAAGATCCGTTCCCATTGTTCGTCGGTCGTGAGAGGAAGCACCTGCTGGGGCTGCGGGTCACGCGCAGGCGTCTCTCCGCTCCCACGGTGCTCCTTCCGCTGCTCGCAGAGTCTCACGCGGTCGTTCCGCTGTTCCTTCGCCTTCTGCTGCTCACTCTGCTGCTCCTGCCGCGGACGAGTCGCCCCATCACCTTGCATTCCGCAGCTGTGAGAAGCTCGGGAGGCGCAAGCGCTCGTAAGCACCGCCGTGATGGTCTGCTGCGGCTCTGGAAGAGTCGGCGCGGATGCGCGGCGCAGAAGCGAGGTGGAAGGCGGAAGGTGCGGAGGACCCGCGGGAGCAGAGGTGGGGCCGGGGAGTAGATGCCGTGAGACGCCGCGGCGGTACAAGTTGCGGGGGCTTGCGGCGGGCAGGAGGGGGAGATATTTCGCGGAAGTGACGAGGGGGAAGGGACGTTCAAGGAAAGGTGCGGTTTCCGCGCCTGCGGTCCAGGGCGGGAGGGTGGAATCATGCTGAGGGAGCTTTCGCGGGGGGCCGTTAGCGCGTCAAGCGCACATCGCCGCTGCACCTGTAAGGCTTGCGGGCGCGCGTGCCGGTGAAGCCTGATATTTCGCGTCTCCGGCTGCTGATGCTGGTGCTGCTCCGTGCCTTCATGCCTCATGTAGGACTGCATTGCGACGTTCGAGCTAATCACATAAGAAATGCTGGAAGGATTTATGACGAGTTGTTCCATTCCTCCATCGCAATGTGGACTCGAAACTCAACTCTGCTCGATGGGACGAATTTCTGGGACTCAGGGAGCAGGGATTTACAGTCTCCGTGGCGATCGTTTTGAATAGCTGTGCGATTCAGGGTGGGTGGTATTCTTGCTGGATGGCGCGTGCTGCTCGTTCGGACAGCTCTTCGGATCAGCTTTACAGCATTACACATGATGCCCACCCCATGCAGGCGAGTTTGCTCTGCACCGGATGGAAACGCTGCACCCGAGGTTTTTTCCCCAGCCTGTTGCACCCACGTTACAAGCGCGTCGCGTGTTTATGAACCAATGGTAAGGAACAGACCGAAGTCAAAAGGAAGAGACTAAAGTCAAATGTCAACGGATTTTGTTACAGCTTTTTTATATAGGCACCTGCGAATCCTTTTTAGCTAGCTGCGAATTGACGACAATTGTGCGAAAACACGTTACAAATGATGAGTCATCATTACAAGGCAACCGGGAGTGGCTCAAACAGGCATCATGTGTATTGTACATCTTTCACGGAATGCGACACACACAGACATGTACTGACTGTATCTGGTATGAAATTGGGGCCTCCAATATGAACGTCACTTGTCGCACGAGAATGGAATGGAAACGTATCCGCCGCAATGAGACGGTCGATTTGGCAGGCGCCAGGCTTTCGCTGATTGTACGCGCAAGGTGCCAGCTTGGTTACCTTATGGTTCCCAGATTGCGCCGCGATGCGTAACGCAATGAGATTGATTGCTTTGCGATGAAAATCAGCGACTCTCGCACACGCGCAAGGTGCTGGACCTGCCATTTTGCTGTCGCTGGCGACCATATCTTGAATGAGAATCTTTGTCACGAATGATGGCTCCCCGTGGGCCTGTGTGGATGCCAGCTCCCACGTCAGCAGGGTAACTACACGTAGCTTCGCATCCTACGTCGTCAAGGTCCTGCGAGTCAATCGCACAGTCGATAGATCAGTCATTTGTGGCAACATGGCCCTTACCAGGGAATGTGGCTGCGAGGCGTGTTACGAAATCGGCAATCGTTATTGTATCCAGCTATATTTCAGCATACGTATTCATATCACTGAGTCGCAGGCGCTCACGGCCAGTGCTACGCGTGGCTAGCGCACATCATCCTAGCTGTCTTATTGACACGAAATGCACCTTGGTGGAGCCATCAGTGGGATAAACAAAACTGGAAGCAACAGCATTGCCATGCAAGTGCCTCGATCCATGTGTAACACTACCCAAGGCTAAAAACCTGCCAACAGGTACTACACTGGTAACCTACTGCTCCGCTTATTTCCCCATCTAATCATAGCACCAGCCAGACTTGCTCCCCACTTACCCTTTTACTTCCAGCCTTTAACCGCCCTTCACTGCCCTTTCTCAACTCCTTCCTTGTCATCTGTTCCTGCCTTTTCACTTTCTGCCCTTCCTCTGCTTCTGCTTTTTGCCCTTCGCTGCAACCTGCACTGCCGCAGCAACCCTCACATCAGCATCACTCCTCATGCGAATGGCTTTCCCTGAACTCTCGTCCTCCCCACTTGACGACGATCCAGATTCACCACCAACTTCCACCACCAATGCTGCTGCTGCTAATGTTTCTGCTGCTGCTGCTGCTGTTTCTACTGCCGTCCCTGCTGCTGCTCCTGGCGTTTCTGCTGCTGCTGCAGCCGCAGCCGCAACCGGCATCGCGGACCGTAGATCCTCCGATCGGTCCGAGGGAATGCTGTGATCCGCCATGGCATCAGCCGTGGCAGCCCGCACGCTCTTCGTTTCCAGCACCACCAGCTGCCGGTGCTCCAACTCAAACTGCATGAACGGCTGGCTCTCCCAGTCTGAGGTGCACGCGTCCACCAGCGCTGCCAGCTGTCGCACGTTGCGCACCCGCGTGCCGTTGAGAGACACGAGGCACGTGTTGGTGATATCCTCATACCCTATGTTGGCTTCATGGGCTAGCACCTGGAGGGGGTGAGGGAGTGGGGAGAAGGCAGGGGACACATGTGCTCCGCATGCCCATGCAGCAGCTTCTGCAACAGCGAAACCAGCAAATCAATTGGAGCCACTTACCACATTCAACCTGCCTCAACCGTTCTGTACCTTCCCTGCTCTCCTCTCACCTGCCTAAACCGCTTCTCACCTGACTCAACACCACCACCTCTTCGTCCTCATGCTCCGCATGCCCATGCAGCAGCTTCTGAAGCAGCGAAACCGGCGACTCAAACTCAAACTCGCTCCCATACTCTGACTGCAAAAACGGCTGCACAGCCGGCGTAAAAACCAGCCCTGCCACGATCAGAAACGTTGGCGGTTTGCCCCCCGTGTGCACCGGAATGAGTCGTTTCGGCGGCTTCAGCTGCACCTGAACCTTCATCAGCTGCCCGTCGCGGAGAATTTCCAGCCGGGCAACCTCGCCGGAAAACTTTTGGCTGACCAGAAACCCGTAGGAGATGCGCTCGCCGGTTCGGAAAGGCACAGTGCCGTCGCTGGCGATGGGTACATTATCAAATGACATAATCACATCCCCTTGCTGTAGCACCCCATGGGCTCGAGACGTCGGGTCGACTTTCCGCACGAGAACACCCTTCTGCCCGGGCGACATTTTCAGAGCTGCCCGAAGCGCAGGATTCTCCAGCCTCTGCCAGAGGATTCCGATCGCGGGGAAACCCGTGTACTGCCCGTTTCTTCGGTAATCGCCGAGGAAATGCGAGATGACCGGCGTCGGGATAATATACCCGATATTCTCCGTGTCACTATCCTTTAGTGACTGAAACGCTATCCCCACACACTCCCCGCGGTCGTTAAAAGCCGGGCCGCCGCTGTTCCCCGGGTTGATTGCGGCATCAATTTGCACGCCTAGTAGCTCGGAGGCGCCGTGAGCGTATGCGGTTACTTCAATGCGAGAGACGACTCCAGAGGTGACTGAGATGCTGTCGCCCCCCACTGGGTACCCCACCACTGTCACCGCGTCCTCCAAATGAGGGAGACCGCCGAACCTGTGGACGGAGGTAAGAGAGGGGAAGGGCACACACACAACAAGCGCCATGAGCGTATGCAGTGACTTCAATGCGAGAGACGAAGCCAGATGTGACTGAGATGCTGCCTCCCCCCACTGGGCACCCCACCACTGTCACCGCATCCTCCAAGTGAGGGAGACCGCCGAACCTGTGAGGGAGGAGGGGGGAGGGAGCACACACACAAAGGCGGTATGTGGTAGGAGGAAGAAGAGGTGACTGAGATGCTGTCGCCTCCGATTGTGCACCCCACTGCCCCACCACTGTCACCGCGTCCTCTAAGTGAGCGAGACCACCGAACCTGTGTGTGAGGGGAGATTAGGAAGAGGGGCAGAAGGTGGAAACTGGGAGAGTGGGAGAGTGGGAGAGTGGAGAGGGGTGCACCACCACTGTCACTGGGAACTCCAGATGGGGGCTTTTCACCTCACAGCACCTCACCAGAGGAGCGTGATGCCGCACCCCATGCTGATCGCCAGCACGCTTGAACCCAACCCAACACACACCTTATGCACCTCAAGTGCCTGAGTGACTGTCTGCCTTTAACCTCGCACCACCTCGCACCACCTCGCACCACCTCGCACCACCTCGCACCACCTCGCACCACCTCACAGCACCCCACCTCTGCGGAAGTACCTGAGGGGTTGGCGGTCGTCGTCCACAGCAAGGAGCATGATGTCGCACTCCACGCCGATTGCCATCAGCCCCTCACTGCACCTCTCAGTACCTCACCAGAGCACGCAGTACCTGTGCGGAACCACCTGGGCAACTGTCGGCACCCCACAGCACCCCACAGCACCTCACCTGAGCGGTTGGCGGCCCTGCCAGAACGACTCGTCGTCCACAGCGAGTAGCGCGATGTCGCACTCCACGCCGATCGCCAGCACGCGTGCGACAAACTTGGTGTCGTCGCCGCGTCGCTTCAGCTTCACCTGCGAGTGGTGGCGCACGCGATACAATGCGCGTTCGTCAGAATTCGAGACATCCCACACAAAAAAAGAACAAGAGAGAGAGAAAAAAGAAAAAAACAGAGGCGTCTCAAAGCTTCACCTGCGTGTGGTGTTCCACGCAATGCGCGTTCGTCAAAATTCGCCTGCCCGGAATCATAAACCCGCTGCCCGTCGACGAAAACTGCCGCCGCTTCTGCCAGGGCAACGAGAAATTCGGCTGCGTGTGCGTACAATACACCTTAACGACTGCGTCTAGAAACGGGGAATCCGGCACGTCATCTTCGATATTGTCTCGCGACCCGCTAATAAGCCACGCCGCGTCCACGTCCTTCGATAAACCCAGATCGCCCAAATCGGACGGCTCAGATTCAAGCAGACCCCCGTTTCCGGTAAACTCGTTAGCCCCGAAAGCCCCGTGCCCGCTACCCCCCCTTCGCTGCTGCTTCGCTTCCTGGTTCGATCCCCCTGGACCAATTTTCCCGCCTTTTTTCTTAGACGCATCCTTGACGATTCGAGAGGCTTTAGAGGCTGCTCGAGCCGCGACCCCACGAGGCACCCCCTTCTGCTGGCTCGGGAGGAGAAAGAGCGGCGCGGAGGTAAGCGGAGTGGATTTGGACGCGGCTCCGCGGTGGTTCTTCGAATCGGCATCCGCGAATTGCGGCGATGGCGCGGGATTTAAGGGGGAGCGGAGTCCGCTGGCGGGGAGCGTGAGAGGGGATACGCGGAGGATCGACGGGGAGGGGAGCGCTGGGGAGGCGGAATGGAGGCGGGAGAGAAGCGCGCATGGTCGCCCTCGTTTTAGGAACGAATGTGATAGAAACGAAGTGAAGCTGATCGCCTGGAAGAGGCCCTGCTGGGTGGCTCGCGCGGCGACTAGAACAACCATGCCGGGCGATAATTCGTCTGACGAGGAAAATGGGACGTGTTGCGACACGGATCAGGATCGACGCGAGAACACGGAAGGATCCGGAGTGACGAATAAGAATCCGGCAATGGGTACGAGGTCCCTGCCTCGTCCAGAGGCAGAGTGTCCTGGCGGACCTGCTAAACGCGGCTGATTAAAGCGTAATCTGGAACCCTAAGTTGCTCAAAAGTGGTGGCCGAGGCATGTACCTGGTGGATAAGGTTGCGTGGCGAGCATGGTTGTGGTTTGGGGAATATTCTCATTCTGACAGTAATACTGTGTGGTGTAGCTGGATGGGGCAAATGCAGCATTGTGAACCATAGTATCGAGGCTGTCCAGAACGAAGAGGCACAAAATTCCGTGAATCAGAGAAGTTCGCGAAGTCTACTCGCTAACCCTTTCGTCTCGACAATCTCTAGGATGTGATCCGCACAATGTTCGCTTCTGGAATTTTCGCTTGTGCGACCCTGGACACTGAAAATGGTTGCTGTTGGGCAAAATGCTTCCAGAATCTAGGTGACGTCCAGAATCCCCACCATACTGTAGCTCACAGAAACATAGCCAACCGTGCCGAACCTATCCTGAAGTCCGAATCTGCTGGTTCTATTGAACAAAATGCAGCAAACCATTCTGGATCAAGCTACTAAGGGCGCTTCACCTGAGGGGCGGAAGGCCAAAATCCGAACCGACGTATCAGTTTGACTGTACGAACAGTATCCCAAATGAGCTCGAACACAAATACGTACAATGAGCGAATGTGACACAGGCCATCACAGGTGACGACATCGCTATTCGCACACGCGGTCTGTTCGAACACAGCGACGTCGCCCACAAAAGAGCGACGTCGCCAAACATTGGGTCCCTCGCTTGTGTGTTTTCTCGAGCGCTGCGACCACCAAATGCGGAGCCAACTGGATTGCTAGAAATACAGCCAACGTCTGGCCGGGTCGCAAACGTTCATGGGCGACCCGGAAGACTGTGGACCAATCATATCAGTCGTTTGTGCGGAATTGTGTGTCACCTATCCCAACCTGTTCGAACAAACGTGTTCGAACGTGCGGGATGATGAAAATCGGGCTTGAGGTGACAGCTCTGTTCAAATTGGCGAAATTGTGCTTCGCGACGTCACGATCACCACTACGAACATAGGCGAAACGAGTAACGTTTCGCCTGTTCGAACGAGTGTGTTGTTCGAACCGACAGGTGAAGCGCCCTAATACCACACAAGAACCAAAACGGGGCAAACCATTTTCGGATCAAGAGCAGACTGCAGCACGCGTTGCTTTCAGTTTCCAGTTTCTGATTTCCGTGAGGGTGACGTTTGTTCTTTCAGACGGGAGAAGGCGCAGATTGAATCTATGGCGTATGAGCTCGTGTTGTGAGAGTTGATTGCATGGATAGTTGCTGGTTCCAGCTTCATGATTACCTTCCTGACTTATGGTTGCAACTCCAGCGAGCATCGGGAAAGTCAAGTGCCAGCATAAATAGGAAGTGCCACGAAGAATCGTCATGGCGGATTCGACCGGACCGCCTGTGGCGAGTCTGCAGCTGGCGAAGCCTCGCAGCATGTTCCTCTGCGGCTCGCTGCCGGTCTGGCTCGATCGCGAGTTCACCACGCTCGAGTTCTCTCCGGGGATATCGAGATCTTTCTTCCACGATAGGTGAATAGCTATGCGACACAAGATAAATTTCTCTGAACATAATCTTTTCCTACGTATCGGTATTCCGAAGTTCGCTCCAGGATTCTCTAAAAGCCTTCATTAGCGACTGGTGACACCGTTTCATTCCTACCCAGATTTCTGTCCAAATCTGCCGTTAACCATGTCTCTCCTCGTTTTTTCACTTCTAACCTAGCCAATCCCTCGTCCCTTCCCTCTCCCCCAGGACTCCCGGCATTCCCAAGGTGATCCCTCCCCCAGCCCGACCGTCCCTGGACACGCATCCCCCCGCATGGCTGCACCGAGACAACATCCTCCTGCCAGTCGACCGTCCCTCGGACCCTCCAGGTTCCACCTGGGGGGGGTCGTATCTGCACCACAGCGGCGCGCGCAAGTGCGAGGCGCTGGCGGTGAGGGGTCTGGCGGAGTTTGGGGAGGACGCGGTGGACGTGATAGCGCCCGCGGACGTGCTGAAGCAGCTGTTCAAACTGCCCTTTTCCAAGGCGAGCCTCTTTGTCAGCGTGCACCGCGTTGGCCGCACGCTCGTGCTCAACCCCGGGTGAGTGGATGCTTCTTGCTTCTGAGGAACCTCAATCCACCCAGGGTGAGTGCGTGCTGCCTTTGAGGCGACTCAAGGGTCAGGGAATGTGAGTGCGCCTGCTGAGATGGGGCCCTGGCGGTGAGGGGGCTGGCGGAGTTTGGGGAGGACGCAGTAGACGTGATAGCGCCCGCGGACGTGCTCAAGCAGCTGTTCAAGCTGCCGTTTTCCAAGGCCAGCCTCTTTGCCAGCGTGCACCACGTCGGCCGCACGCTCGTGCTCAACCCCGGGTGAGTGAGGGGTGCTTCATGGATTCGCACAATGTACCATGAGCCTCCGGAGGCCAGGGCAGCAAAAGTGGCAGTGCTTCTCTCTCTCCAAGCTGGTAGCCCAGAGTTGTACTCTTTCCTTCTTCCACTCATCCCCACCTCCCCCCTCCCCCATACTCCTCTCAGCTCCGAGCCTTGCTGTGTGGACTCCCACAACGTGGTATGGACCTCTAGATTGCAAAGGGAGGCGATTCTACTCTCTAAGCTTGTAACTCAGACTTTCACTCTCCTTCTTCCCCTCATACCCTCCCCCATGCTCCTCTCAGCTCCGAGCCTGGGTGTGTGGACTCCCACAAGGTCGCACGGACCTCCAGAGGGCAACGCGAGGCGATTCTGCTCTCCAAGCTGGTAACCCCGGAGTTACACGGTCAACAGGGCGCGTCTTCCAGCAGCAGACCTACCAGCAGAGGCATCAGGAGCAGCAGCACCAGTGCCATCAGCTCGTCTGCAGTTTCTGGTGGTACTGATAGCAGTAGCAGCAGTGGTCGCAATAGTGGCAACCAAAACAGCACCAGCAGGGGTAGCAGCAGCAGCAATGTTTCAAGAAAAGGTCTGCCTAACGCTGCTGCTCTGCCAAAAGCGTTCGCGGATTTCGTCGGGGACGCGGAAGGCGTGGTTCGAGTGTGCGGCCGCAGCAGTCAGCAGCATGGAGGAGCAGCAGATGGATCGGCAGCAGCAGCCACAGCAGCAGCAGCAGCAGCAGACTTCTGGGGCGCCTCCAAAAACTACCACGGATTTTGTCGGGGATGCAGAGGGCGTGGTGCGAGTGTGCGACCACAGCAGTCAGCAGCAACAGCAACAGCGCCGGCAGCAGCAGCAGCAGCAGCAGTTTGGGTTGCAGAAGGCTGTTGTCACTGATGCAGCTTGCGCTGGTAGTTTGAAGAATCAGATTGAAGGCGTTCAAGGGGAAGTGAAAGTGGAAGTGGAAGAGGAGGAGGAGCAGGAGCAAGAGGAGGGGTATGCGCGTTGGGAGGGCGCTGGGAAGGGCAAGCCATGCAGCAAGCGGGAGAGAAGGCTGGATAATGGCAGCAACGGAGGAGCGGGGAGGCGAATTGAAACAGGGGTAGGAGGAGGAGGAGGTGCGGGGGAAGCGAATGGAGACAGGAGGAGGGGGGAGGAGGAGGTGTGGAGGCAGAGAGAGGGGCGGACAGGTTTGCCCGGGTGGTGTTCTGGCAGTTGGAGCACCTGAGGCTGTTTCTTGGCAGCGACCTGATTCTGTTCAGCAATGAGAAGCATGCTGCTGTCAGCCTTCACCTCGTTGACGTGGAGCATGAGGTATGCTCTTGCCGTTAGGTGACAATCTAGCTAGTGCCTCGACCAGCAACCTGATTCTGTTTAGTAATGAGAAGCATGCGGCAGTCAGCCTTCACCTGGTCGACGTGGAGCATGAGGTAGGAAGTTTTGTTTTTACGCCCTTTTGATTCAGGGTATGTTGTGTCTTATATGCTCTTGTGGTGTTCGTGTTGCTGGGAAGCGACCTGATTCTGTTCAGAAATGAGAAGCATGCGGCAGTGAGCCTTCACCTCGTTGACGTGGAGCATGAGGCATGTTCTTGCTGATTCAAGGTGACGATTCTTCTAGTGCCTCAAAACAGCGACTTGATTCTGTTCAGAAATGAGAAGCATGCGGCAGTGAGCCTTCACCTAGTTGATGTGGAGCATGAGGCATGTTCTTGCTGATTCAAGGTGACGATTCTTCTAGTGCCTCAAAACAGCGACTTGATTCTGTTCAGAAATCAGAACCATGCGGCAGTGAGCCTTCACCTCGTTGACGTGGAGCATGAGGCATGCTCTTGCTGATTCAAGGTGACGATTCTTCTAGTGCCTGAAAACAGCGACCTGATTTTGTTCAGAAATGAGAAGCATGCGGCAGTCAGTGTTCACCTAGTTGATGTGGAGCATGAGGTATGCTACCCCCCACCCACCCCGCCCCTCTGTGGGTGGGCGACTCGTGCCTGTTCTGCCGCTGTGGTGTTCGTGTTCCTGGGAAGCGATCTGATTCTGTTCAGCAATGAGGAGCATGCGGCAGTCAGCCTTCATCTTAACTTGCTTCCTTCTCTTCCTGCACACACTTGCAGAGCTCCCCTTTGGTGTGGCTCGATATATGGCTCGATAACCTGATGGCGGGGGTGCCGGAATTAGCCATCTGCTACCATCACAAGGGCGTCGTGCAGGGCTACGAGCTGCTGCACTGTGACGACGTGTTTCTGCTCAAGTGCCTCGCGAGAGACGGGTCGGCGTCGTTCTACCCCCACGCTGTGAGGGACAGCGCGCTCGCCATCCTGGGGTTCCTGCAGGACAAGTGCGTGCGCAGCCCCGGCACCTACTGGGTGAGTCTGAATTCCGATTCCTGCTGCTGCTCTATCAGTGTGACACAGGCGCGGACGTGCTGCTGCTATTTAACTTACTCCACCCCTCTGTACCTCTCTCCCCTCTCACTCTCCCCCTCCCCTCCCCCCTCCCGCTACCCTCCCTTCCCCATTCCCCTCCCCTCCCCTCCTCTCCTCTTCCTCTCCTCCCTTCCTTCTTTCTCCCCTCCTCCCTCTCTGTGCAGCTTCGCAAGGATGCAGGCACTGACGTGCTGCAGCTATTCGACCTCACTCCACCGCTCCAGAACCCATCTGCACCGCTCCGCCTCGCCCCATCCCTCGCTACCCATCCTTCACCCCTGGGAGAACCATCAGGAGAGGCAGCAGGGCAAGAGCGGGACGAGCAAGGGGGGCAGCAGTGGGGACAGCAGGGGAGGCAGCAGGGGGGCTAGCGGGGCGAGCAGGAGGGAACTCCCCGTTATCTTCTCTCGATCCGGCTGTAGCAGCGCACCTCTCCCTGCCCCTCGCTATGCTGCTCTACCGCCTAGCCCTTCATCTCTCAGACTCCCATGTGCCTCGGGATCGGCACAGGACAGCCAGCTGTTTGGGTACTGCTTGCAAACTGCTGCACCAGAAAGACCACCCGGTAAGCCCCTGCATTCTACCATCCCCCCGAGCAGCAAGTGCAGCCCCAACCAGTAGGTGAGCACTCATCTGCCATCTCCTAGTAACCCATATTACGAGTGCCTGGGATCGCCACAGGTCTGCATAGCTGTTTGGTTACTGCCTGCAGCTGCTGCACCAGAAAGAAAACCTGGTAAGAACAAGAGGAGTAGCCCGTGAGCATGAGCTCATGAGCACCAGCCCGTGAGCACCACCAGTGTACATGCCTATATGCCGTGCAGTGCAACGTACGAGCGGGCGGGCAGCGTATGAGCGGGCGGTGCAGCGTATGAGCGGGCGGTGCAGCGTATGAGCGGGTGGTGCAGCGTATGAGCGGGCGGTGCAGCGTATGAGCGGGCGGTGCAGCGTATGAGCGGGCGGTGCAGCGTATGAGCGGGCGGTGCAGCGTATGAGCGGGCGTGCAGCGTATGAGCGGGCGGTGCAGCGTATGAGCGGGCGGTGCAGCGTATGAGCGGACGGTGCAGCGTATGAGCGGGCGGTGCAGCGTATGAGCGGGCGGTGCAGCGTATGAGCGGGCGGTGCAGCGGTATGAGCGGGCGGTGCAGCGTATGAGCGGGCGGTGCAGCGTATGAGCGGGCGGTGCAGCGTATGAGCGGGCGGTGCAGCGTATGAGCGGGCGGTGCAGCGTATGAGCGGGCGGTGCAGCGTATGAGCGGGCGGTGCAGCGTATGAGCGGGCGGTGCAGCGTATGAGCGGGCGGTGCAGCGTATGAGCGGGCGGTGCAGCGTATGAGCGGGCGGTGCAGCGTATGAGCGGCGGTGCAGCGTATGAGCGGGCGGTGCAGCGTATGAGCGGGCGGTGCAGCGTATGAGCGGGCGGTGCAGCGTATGAGCGGGCGGGCAGCGTATGAGCGAACGGTGCAGCGTATGAGCGGGCGGTGCAGCGTATGAGCGGGCGGTGCAGCGTATGAGCGGGCGGTGCAGCGTATGAGCGGGCGGTGCAGCGTACGAGCGGGCGGTGCAGCGTACGAGCGGGCGGTGCAGCGTATGAGCGGGCGGTGCAGCGCAAGAGCGGGCGGTGCAGCGTACGAGCGGGCGGTGCAGCGTACGAGCGGGCGGTGCAGCGTACGAGCGTGCGGTGCAGCGTACGAGCGGGCGGTGCAGCGTACGAGCGGGCGGTGCAGCGTACGAGGCGGGCGGTGCAGCGTATGAGCGGGCGGTGCAGCGTATGAGCGGGCGGTGCAGCGTATGAGCGGACGGTGCAGCGTATGAGCGGGCGGTGCAGCGTATGAGCGGGCGGTGCAGCGTATGAGCGGGCGGTGCAGCGTATGAGCGGGCGGTGCAGCGTATGAGCGGGCGGTGCAGCGTATGAGCGGGCGGTGCAGCGTATGAGCGGGCGGTGCAGCGTATGAGCGGGCGGTGGCGTATAGCGGGCGGTGGCAGCGTATGAGCGGGCGGTGCAGCGTATGAGCGGGCGGTGCAGCGTATGAGCGGGCGGTGCAGCGTATGAGCGGGCGGTGCAGCGTATGAGCGGGCGGTTGCAGCGTATGAGCGGGCGGTGCAGCGTATGAGCGGGCGGTGCAGCGTATGAGCGGGCGGTGCAGCGTATGAGCGGGGCGGTGCAGCGTATGAGCGGCGTGCAGCGTATGAGCGGCGGTGCAGCGTATGAGCGGGCGGTACTGAGCGGGCGCAAAGGTATGAGCGGCGGTGCAGCGTACGAGCGGGCGGTGCAGCGTATGAGCGGGCGGTGCAGCGCACGAGCGGGCGGTGCAGCGTATGAGCGGGCGGTGCAGCGTATGAGCGGGCGGTTGCAGCGCATAGAGCGGGCGGTGCAGCGTATGAGCGGGCGGTGCAGCGTATGAGCGGGCGGTGCAGCGTATGAGCGGGCGGTGCAGCGTATGAGCGGGCGGTGCAGCGTATGAGCGGGCGGTGCAGCGTATGAAGCGGGCGGTGCAGCGTATGAGCGGGCGGTGCAGCGTATGAGCGGGGCGGTGCAGCGTATGAGCGGGCGGGTGCAGCGTATGAGCGGGCGGTGCAGCGTATGAGCGGGCGGTGCAGCGTATGAGCGGGACGGGTGCAGCGTATTGAGCGGGACGGTGCAGCGTATGAGCGGGCGGGTGCAGCGTATGAGCGGGCGGTGCAGGCGTATGAGCGGGCGGTGCAGCGTATGAGCGGGCGGTGCAGGTATGAGCGGGCGGTTGCAGCGTTACAGGCGGCGGTGGCAGCGTATGAGCGGGCGTGCAGCGCACGAGCGGGCGGTGCAGCGTACGAGCGGGCGGTGCAGCGTTACGAGCGGGCGGTGCAGCGTACGAGCGTGCGGTGCAGCGTACGAGCGGGCGGTGCAGCGTACGAGCGGGCGGTGCAGCGTAACGAGCGGGCGGTGCAGCGTATGAGCGGGGCGTGTGCAGCGTATGATCGGGGCGGTGCAGCGTATGAGCGGGCGGTGCAGCGTATGAGCGGCGGTGCATCGTATGAGCGGGCGGTGCAGCGTATGAGCGGGCGGTGCAGCGTATGAGCGGGCGGTGCAGCGTATTGAGCGGGCGGTGCAGCGTATGAGCGGGCGGTGCAGCGTATGAGCGGCGGTTGGCAGCGTATGAGCTGGCGGTGCAGCGTATGAAGCGGGCGGTGCAGCGTATGAGCGGGCGGTGCAGCGTATGAGCGGGGCGTGCAGCGTATGAGCGGGCGGTGCAGTGTGAGCGGGCGGTGCAGCGTACGAGCGGGCGGTGCAGCGTATGAGCGGGCGTGCAGCGCACGAGCGGGCGGTGCAGCGTACGAGCGGGCGGTGCAGCGTACGAGCGGGCGGTGCAGCGTACGAGCGTGCGGTGCAGCGTATGAGCGGGCGGTGCAGCGTCATGAGCGGGCGGTGCAGCGTACGAGCGGGCGGTGCAGCGTTACGAGCGGGCGGTGCAGCGTATGAGCGGGCGGTGCAGCGTATGAGCGGGCGGTGCAGCGTATCATTGTTTCTCTACCTCCCTCCATTCCTCTTCTAATCTCTGTTTCCCCTCCAGGGCCTTCGAGCAACAGCCCACGAGTACATGGCGCTCTTCTTCCTGCAAATCCCTCAGAACGAGCTTCCATCTCTCCTCCAACCCTCGCACCTCCACTCCCCCCTCCTGCCACAACCACGGCTTCCCCACCCTCCCTTCCTCCTCTCATCAACTCCCCATAACCGCCCCCCCACACCCTCCCATCCCCCCTTCCTCCCTCCTCCATCCCTCTCTCCAACCGTCACTCCCCCATCCCTCCTCACTCCACCTCCCCTTTCTCCAACCAGTCACGTTCTTACCCTCCCATCTGCCACCGTCCAATCTTTTACCCTTCTCCACCCCTTCCTCCGTATCTCCTTCTGCTCTCACCCCATCCTCTTGCCTCGCTATCACTTATCCCAAAGATGCTGCTGCTGCTGATCCTGCTACTCCTGCTGCTGCTGCTGATCCTGCTACTCCTGCTGCTGCTGCTGATCCTGCTACTCCTGCTGCTGCCGATCCTGCTAGTGCTGATGCTGCAGCTGCTCCTGCAGCTGTGGGCTCTCAACGTTTGGCCATCGTCCCCACAACAACGCACACTTAGCTGTCATTCCAAGAGCTGACCAACCCTTGGCTGTGATTTCCGAAGCCAATCAGCAGCTGGCTGTAATTCCCCAAGCCAATCAGCAGCTGGCTGTAATTCCCCAAGCCAATCAGCAGCTGGCTGTGATTCCCGTTTTTTCCAACGAGCCAGCAGCTCACGATCAGCTCGCAAGCAGCGCATGGGTTAGGGGCAGCTGTAGCACAGAAACTGGGTGCCACTGTAGAAAAGGAAGCAGGGGCAGCTGTAGCACAGGAATCAGGTGCAACTGTAGAAAAGGAATCAGGGGCAGCAGTAGCACAGGAATCGGGTGCAACTGCAGCAAATGAATTGGTAGCACAGGAATCAAAGGTTGTGGCAGCGACTGAGCCAGGAGCAGCAGCTAAAGCAGAACAAGAAGCAGCAGCAGCAGCAGAACCAGAAGCCACAGCAACTGCAGCTTCACCAAATATCCGCAATTTTGCCCCCTCCGCGCACTACAGTGGGAGACGCGGAGAGTGCCGTAGCGCACACAGGAACAGGGGCAGAAGCAGCAGCAGAGGCAAAAGCGGCAGGAGCAGAAGCAGCTGCAGGGGCAGAAGAAACAGCAGGTGCAGAAGAAGCAGCACCAAAATCACAAACCGCCGCTGCCATCCCGTTCCCCTCCCCCTGCTGTCGACGATGCAGAGAGCGCAGTGGCAGTCCGCCTGGCATCCGTCTGGCATGCCACGCAAGCAATCGGCGCGCTGAGGTGGCAGCGGCACCTGCTGACTCACACCCAGGAGAGCTTAATGAACCCCCCTCTATCCCTCCTCACACAGCCTCAGAAACTACTCTGCTTCCGGTATGTGTCTCTGTGGGGAATCCTGCTGCCTTTCCCAAGGGTCTGGTGCGGTTTACGGGGATGGGAGGGCGTTTGAGTGGTTGAGGAGGAGAGGAGGAGGAGCAGGGGGAAGGGGCGGGAAGGGGGTGAAGGGAAGGGGAGGGCAGCAGAGGGGGAAGGTGGAGGAGGAGGTGGGGGTAATGGGGGAGAGAGGGCAGGAGTGGGGGGAGGAGGAAGGGAGGGAGGGGGGGATGACGACGCACATTCTTTTTGCCTCCCTAGGTAGCACCTGCAGCAGTGTTGGCGCTGCCTCTGCTGCCTCTGCTGCCTCTGCTGGTTCTGCTGCTGCTGGAGGCCTAACCAGTGGTGATGCAGTTACCACTAGCAGTGCAGTTACCAGCCGTACCACTGCGGTTACCGATCGGCGTATCTGCAAGCTGATAGCGCTTCTAGGAGAGGCATATCTGGGCCTAGCAGAAGCTTATAAGGGGGATGGGCACGTGGGGCGGGCTTAAGAGCTGCTGAGCTGGCGTGTGTGGTTGTGGGGGGTTGGCCGTGGGACTTGGAGGATCTAGGCTTGGAAGGGGAAGGGGAGGAGGGGGGAGAGGGAGGAGTGGGAGGAGAGGGAGAGGATGGGAGGCGGGATGAAGGGAGGAGGGTAGGTGTCGGGGATTGGAGGGATGGGGGGTTGGAGGTGAGGGGAATGGAATGAAGACTGGTGGCGAGCAGAAGGGGAGAGAGCGGAGAGGGGGGTGCAAGAGGTTAGGGGGGCGAGAGGTGGGAGGAAGAAAGCGAAAGGGAAAGATAGGAAGCAGAAGAAGGGCGAAGGAGGGGCGGAAGGAGGAAATGCTTTACATGTAGCGAGTCAGCCCGTAAGGGAGATGAGGGTGGAAGACAGGCTGAGGCTGTCCGATTCTGGCTGCTCCACGTCTGACGCCCCTGTGCTTCGTGTTACACTGCGTCACGTACAGTCACACCGCTTAAAGTCACACAATCTCTCGGTGGGGCTAAACGAAGGACTCTTCAAAGCCCAGCCAGTCAGCACGCAAGAATGAGAGGCAGAGCCGTGTTTCTGAATCTGTAAGGCCAAAAGGGGTGGGGGTGGGAGTGAGCAGAGGAGCAGCAGCAGCAGCAGCAGCAGCAGCAGGGATGTTGGCGGGAGGGGGAGTATCTGCAGGGTGGGAGGGTAGCATGTGGTTGTGCAGGCGTGTGAGTGGAAGGAGCTTTTGGGGTGAGCTGTGGGAACTGGTAGGAGATTTGTATGTGGACCTAGAGACTAGGGTCGGAACAGGGTCGGAGCCTGAGCAAGCAGCAAGGCTCGGTGATTCGAAGCAAGAGGCGAGACTCGGTGACCCAAAGCAAGGGGCAAGGGTTGGTGGTGCGAGGTTGGGCGAGGGGAGAGAGGGAAGAAGGCAGTGTGGGCTGTGCGGGCTGCAGCAGTGGCTGCAGAGGGAGAGGCATCTGGGAGTGCAGAGCTGAGGATAGAAGAGGAGGTGGCAAGGGAGGTGAGACGGGTGAGGAAGAAAAGGAGGCAGAGGGAGGGCAGTGGTCACGGGGCAACAGGCGAAAGGGTCGCGGCTGGGGAGGCAGCAAGGGCAGCAGCAGGGGCAGCAGAAGCAGTAGCAGCTGTAGCACATGCTGTTTGTAGCGTGTGTGGGAGGGGTGGTTGTAGCTGCTTGAATGAACGAGCACGACGAGACAACGGTGAATCAGCATCAGCAGCACCATCAGCCCTTCCCCAAGCCGCCTGCTCTGCAACCAGCTGGAAGAGTCGTTGTTTTGGCCGACCGTTCGTGCTCGACCCGAACGCCAACTACCAATCAGCAGCCGAGTTTTACTCCCGGGCAGCGGCTGCGTTCTCGGCCAATCACGACGCGACAAGCAAGCAGGCGGTTATGAGGAAACGCGGATGGGCCTGCAACGAGCGCGGCCGGTGGCTTCTCAACTCCCCTTCCTCCTCCTCTCCCTCCTCCTCTTCCTCCTCTTCCTCTACCTCATCTCCTCCTCCACCTCCCACACCCCACACGCCACCATAGCAGCAGCACGGGCAGCGCTGGTGGCGGCAGCAGAGGCATTCTGGGAAGCGGGAGATGCTCCCAATGCTGCTCTTGTGCTCTGCAATCTAGGCCATGGGGAACGGGCAGATGCTGAGGTGATTGCTGCTCCTCTTCTCATGCTCTCTGAGCAAGCAGGTGCTTGGCGTGGGGCTTTAGTAATGCTGCTTCTTCTGCTGCTGCTGCTGCTCCTGCTGCTGGGGCGCCTGTTGCTTTTGGTGCTGGGGATGCCGCAACGAATGTTAACGGCGGTGAAAGTGGTTCCGCTGGTGCTGGTGCTGGTACTGGTGCTGGTGCTGGTACTGGTGCTGGTGCTGGGTTCTCGGGCAAGTTTGAGAGAGCGAGGCAGCGGTATATGCGGGCGTTGGGGTGGTATGGGGATGCTCGCAGGGAGCTGATGAGGAGTGTGGGGGAAAGTAAGGCCGATGGTGCTGCTGATGGGAGTACGGACGTAGCGGGAGGAGCAGGAGGATCAGGGGGAGTAGGAGTAGGAGGAGGACGAGGTAAGGGTGGCGTGGGGGTTGAGAGTGAGTCAGCAGCAGCACGGGCATATGGGGTGGTGTGGAGCGAGGTGAACCTGCAATTCGCCCACACTTACCTTAGAGTCGGCATGCTTATGGCCGCTGCGGAACGCCTGGGCCTCCCAATGGTCCCTGCTGGGAACAGGAAAGAGAATGCGGATAGTTCCAGTTGGTTCGGTGGAGGGAGGGTGGAGAATGAGAGAGGGGATGGGGATGGGGTGAGGGAGGAAAGCGGCGGAGGGGGGCAGGGGAGGGGAATGAGTGGGAGGGAGGTGCGAGGGTATGTTTCGGCGAAGGATGCCTTGAGTAAGGCTCTGATTCTGTATGAGTCTCTAGGGACGAGCAGACAGCAAGAAGCTGCCTTTGCTCACTTCCATCTTGCTGGTTACCACAGGGATTGTGCCCTTCGTGCTGCTGCTGCTGCTGCTGCAGGAGGATCAGCAGCAGGGGGTGTGGCGGATTGGCAGCAGCAGCAGAAGCGCCTGGCAGCGTTAGCAGAGGTTCACTGGCACAGGCAGTGTGCTTCTATCGAGCGGAAGCACATCCGGACATGTTTGTGACTATATGCATGGAGAGGGCGGGGCTAGCGTCTGGTCTGGGCGGGCAGAAGAAGCAGCAGCAGTGGCAGGTATGATTGTATAGAGTGTGTTGTATGGGCGTGCTTTCGCCAACATGTTTGTGACTAGCTGCATGGAGAGGGGGGGGCTAACGTTTGGTTGGGTCTGGGCGGGCAGAAGCAGCAGCAGTGGCAGGTATGCTTTAAAAAGGGTGCACTGGCGCAAGGCAGTGTGCTTCTATCAAGCGGGTGCACATCCGGACCTGTGTGTGACTACATGCATGGAGTGGGCTGGCCTCCTTTGCTTTGGGGAGCAACGGCAGCAGCAGCAGCAGCAGCAGTGTCAGGCATGGTTGTTTTTAGTGTCTGAGCCTGACAAGTCAACTTTCTCCACGCCCCAGTTTCCCCCAACCAAATACGGTAACCTTATTCCCTGCGCTCTCTTCTCTTCCCTTGTCGCTCCTCTCCCCTCGCCCCTGTACCCCACCAGAGTCACCTCGCGGCTCTGAGACACCTCATGGCAGTGCAGGCCGCGCTATCACCACCCCAGGCCCCTCTCCTCCCCAGTTCCCGATTCCAAAACCACGGAGCACTCAAAGCAAGCTCACGACAAGGCGTCCCCTCTCTACAGTCACACGGCTGAGAGGCTGTGCCATCTCGTACAGTCACACCTGAAGGCCTTGCTGGGCCTTGCTCTGGCATCTTCCGGCTCATCCCTCGGTGGGAGGAAGGCGGGTGAAGGTACAAGTGCAGCAGGCTTAGGGTTGGGAGAGGTGGAGAGGAGTTGGTGGGAGTGCTTCGAGAGGCTTACAGGTGCTCTTTGAAGCTGGACAAGTGTGCATTGAACCTGCATTCGATATCTGTATTGGTTGCTCGTTTGCAGTAACGAGTGCTTTATATGCTCACTGAAGTCTGAGGTCGTTGTAATTGTCTATCGTTCCAATAACTCATGTTTCTCAAATGTTTGACATTTTGTTTTGTGGCGCCAATGTTTTTAAAAGCACAATAAGTAGTAAGGAACTCGCTCAAAAAAAGATCGGCGTTACAGCGGGCGATTCCGAGGCACCAAT